AGGTCTTGTAGCGAAGAAGAAACAGGAGGGAATGATGAAGACACAAACTACAGAGGGCGGAGACGCAGGAGATCCATATCACCTACCCTTAACCGGTCCTCTGTATTCGAAAACATTGCTAACTTGTTCAGCCGTACTGGTGCAGGGGAGCGAGAACGCAGAGCTTCTGAGTTTTCACGACGTTCGTCTGCATCTTCGACTCGAAAATCACGACGAAGGTCCTCAGACGCAGGGTCGGAATTCGCTCTTGCAGACGAAGTGAACGAGCGATGGGGATACTCGTCCGGAGAGGAAGATGATGAGACAGAGTCCAATGGCTCGCTTCCCTTAAACCCTTTCCACAGCGAAATAGACTATGGTTCATACCCTCCGTCTCCGAATGCAGACTCACATCTCCCTCTCTTTGCCGCTGATGCAATTTTCGGCGACGAGGTGCGCATAGACATAGACGTACCTCATGAGCCGCTAAATCCTCCACCCCCTGGGCCGCCAAGCAGACAAACTATATATGTACCAGAAGAGGACAATACCTTTCGTTTCGTGGGCTATGAAGTTATCATCTGGCGACAGTGGCTCTGGCGGGTGTGCTGTGCTGCAACTTTGGGTATTGTGGGTCTCTTGGGACATTGGTTCCCTCGTGTATGGCTACGATGCGTTGTAGAAGAGAAGGCTTTCAGAGATATCAAGCATGGTTATGTTGTCATTGAGGTGCGCAACGCCATAAACTTCTTGTAGCACAAGCTTTAAGTCATCTGTCGTCAGTCTGCACACAGAGACATCACATTGTTCCCTGTCAAGCGTCTAGCATATCCATATGCCCGCTCAACAGTTTTCCCTATCTCTCCTGCAGAAGCGGATGGACGACCACAACCGCTGACACGCGGCGATAACGGCGGAAGACAAGAGATTCTCAATGACCTCCATGTCGTCGATTATAGATATTCACGTTTTGCACTTGACGTTCAGACTGGATTATTCGGCATGATAAGGTGGGTTGATTATGCTGCGCCCTCATTTTTACTGAGCGTCAAGTAGGGACTGGCGTGATCCAACGTGGACGGGTCTGCAGTCCATCCAGAACGGGCTTTCGCAGGTTGTGAGGCATCAACGGTTAATTTTATTTGGACCGAATATTGTCGATATCGAAGGCAAATCAACGATATCACTCCTGGTTGATGAGGCAAGTCCAATTTTCATGGAATCATGGCCTCACCCAACCTTTTGGTAGATCATCCACCCATTCTACGTGTTTCAAGTGGCCAGCATCATCCTTTGGTCATTGGATGATTACTACTACTATGCATTCTGCATTGCACTGATTTCTACATTGAGTGTTGTGACAACCTTGATTGATACCAAGAAGGTGAGAAAACAGACGCTTGAACATGTCACGAAAGATCCTCACGCTCTCTCAGACCATCAAGCGCATGCGGGAGATGTCTCACTTCTCCTGTGACGTTGTGGTTTATACAGACGGTGGCTGTATGCAGTGTTTTCGTCGTCCTTTGCTCAGCTCATGGTCATGCAGGGGTTGAGCGCGACTCCACTGAGCTTGTGCCAGGAGATATAGTAAACCTCTCTGAACTACATGTATCTTTGTTCCCTGCGGACATGCTTCTTCTTTCTGGCGACGCCATTGTGAACGAAAGCATGCTAACTGGCGAAAGTGTACCTGTTTCGAAGAATCCAGCCAAGGACGATGATATCGCTCGTTGGCGCGATCTCAAGGACGCCCAGGGCGAGCTTGCGAAGAGCTTTATTCATGCAGGGACAAGAGTGGTTCGCATCCGTGGTGCTCTGGCAAGTGATGGAACCACAGGACAACCTGCCCTTGGGCTGGTTGTCAGAACAGGTAGGTCTTCTGCATTCTGCAGAGATGATGCATTCATGAATAACAGGGTTCAACACAACCAAGGGTGCACTAGTCAGGTCCATGTTGTTCCCAAAACCAATAGGATTCAAGTTTTACCGTGATTCAATTCGTTTCATCGGTGTTCTGGCATGTATTGCTACCCTTGGTTTTTGTGCCAGCGCTGTGCAGTTTATCCGACTTGGGGTATGTTTTGTGGTATCCTGATGCAAATTCTACTCAGTTGGATGTAGATTAAATGGCCTGTCATCTTAGTCCGTGCTCTCGACTTGATAACGATTGTGGTTCCGCCTGCTCTTCCGGCGACCCTCTCGATCGGGACAAATTTTGCCATCGGACGTCTTCGCAAACTTGGAATCTTCTGCATCTCGCCCACGCGTGTTAACGTCGGAGGAAAAGTCAACGTATGCTGCTTTGACAAAACAGGCACACTTACAGAAGATGGATTAGACATTCTCGGCGTGCGTTCCCTCGACCGCAATGTGCACCGCTTTGGTGAGCTTATAGACAATGTCCACGATCTACCTTCCATCCACGACCGCACGAGCTTCCTCCACGCGCTCGCGACGTGCCATTCCTTGAAGATAGTAGACGGCGAAATTATTGGCGATCCACTGGACGTCAAGATGTTCGAGTTTACCAAGTGGACTCTTGAAGAGGGACTGATCGCGGGGACCGGCATTATTAAAGGAAGAAGTGGCAGCGAACGACCAGCTGCGCTTGTCCAGACTGTTGTGCGACCGCCTGGGAGTGCTCAGTTCCGCTTGGAAGATGCTCTTAAGACAGGAGCGAAGGTGCGCCCTGGCATGAAGTAGTACACAGCATTTCTGACTGTTACATCTCAGCATGCTCATTTCCTTGAACTTGGCGTGATCCGCACCTTTGAGTTCGTCTCAAGTCTGCGGCGGATGAGTGTTGTGGTTAAACGGCTCAGGAGCACCAGCATGGAGATCTACGTTAAAGGGGCTCCAGAGGTGATGGTGGAAATCTGCGAGAAAGACTCTTGTTAGCTTCTAGTTTTCCTCGATATTCTGGACGCTGATTGTTCTGCAGTTCCACAGGATTATGACGACCTGCTGTCGTACTATACAAGGCGTGGGTATCGTGTCATTGCGATGGCGGGCAAAAGTATCGAAAGCTTATCATGGCTGAAGGCTCAAAAGATGAAGAGGTTAGGTGCATTTTTTTCTTTGGTTCCATGGTTACTCAAGGACTTTATAGGGAGCAAGCGGAATCAAATCTTCGTTTCCTCGGACTAATCATCTTTGAGAATAAGTTGAAGCCGGGGACGACTCCTGCCATCCAGACCCTCCGGGCAGCTCATCTGGCATGTAGGATGATTACTGGAGACAACCCACTGACTGCCGTCAGCGTCGCACGAGAGTGCAGTTTGGTAAGCCAAGCTGCACATGTCTTCGCTCCTGCGTTCGTCCACGGTGAGCAGTCAATGTCGTCAGTTTTGTACACATTGCGAGACTTTTTCAACTTCAGGAAATGCTAATACACCCATGTCGAAATTGGAGTGGTCCTCCATGGATGATCCCTCTTGGAAACTGGACGACTACAACCTTAAACCCTTACTTCCACCTCCACACCTTACCGTAGCAGAACATGAAGTCGAGTATCAGGATTGTGCGTTGGTCGTGACAGGTGATGTGTTTAGATGGATGATTAATCACGGTCCTCTCGAAACTGTGCAGCGGGTGAGGCCATTTGGTTGAGCATCACATTATCTAGACTGATGTTTGCCCCCAGATGCTTGTCAAGACCCAGATCTTTGCTCGAATGTCGCCCGATGAAAAGAACGAGGTCGTCGAAAGGCTGCAGACCCTGGGTTACACTGTGCTAATGTGTGGAGATGGCGCGAATGATTGTGCAGCACTCAAGGCCGCAGACGTTGGTATTTCGCTGTCCGAAGCGGAGGCGTCTGTTGCAGCCCCCTTCACCAGCAGGACCCCCGATATCAGTTGTGTCATCGAGGTCATCAAGGAAGGAAGGGCCGCATTGGTCACCAGCTTTTCGTGTTTTAAATACATGTAACAGGATCGTCTCTCCGCTTCTGCAAAATTACTAATATTTTGCAAGGGCGCTGTACTCCATGATCCAGTTCACGACGGTCACTCTGCTATACTCTTTCGCATCATCCCTGGGAGATTTCCAGGTAATCTCCTGACCAGCCGATTTGCTCCCGCTGAACGTATTTTTATTAGTTCCTGTACATTGACCTCTTCATTATCATTCCCATCGCCGTTTCCAGTGAGTTCGCTGGAATTTTTACTCAGGCAGTCCTAATTAGACTTAGTGGGACGGACTCTCCCGTATCCGCGGATATACCCCAAGCGCCCGACGGCTAGCCTGGTATCAAAGAAGGTCCTTGCCAGTCTGTTTGGGCAGATAATAATCACTAGCAGTGTTCAAATCTGGACGTTCTTCTGGGTTAAGCGTCAAGATTGGTAAGTACAGCATTCCATTGCACCGCCGAGGGCGACTAACCTGAGTTTGTGCGCAACAAGGTACCATTTACCGGATGCGGACCCTTATGGCGATGGTGCCCATCTCAAAGCCTCCAACTTTGAGAACTCAACTTTGTTTCTAGTATCTTGTTTCCAGTATATTCTTGTTGCAGCCGTATTTAGCATTGGCCCTCCTTACCGCAAGTCGATGTGGACAAACGGTTTGTATTTCGCCGTAACAATCACTGCGTAGTTCTAATTTTGTGCTATTGTGTAGCCTGGTTGATGGCATCAATCACTGGTTTATCGCTCCTGAATTTGCTGGTGCTGCTACGACCTCCGAAGCCCCTTAGCTTGATTCTCGAGTTGATGCCCCTCCCGATATCCGGCAGCGCATGGCTAACGGTATTTACACTCATCAACATTGTTGTTTCACTTGCTTTCGAGCAATGGGCCACCCAATTCATCTCACAGGTGATTGGTGTTTTGATGAACCTGCATGTGAAGAGAAGATACCGCGAAGGGAAAACTTACAAAGCTGTGGAGGGTGGAATGCAACGTTGAGTATAAATACCTGTGCAGATATAGATATCATGATGTTACCTGTTGTCAATGAGAACGGGCGCTGCAGCGAGACCGGGAGATTTCCTATTTAGTCTGATTGATAGAAGTGGCAATTTCAAGGAAACCTTCCATTGTCTTTGCCTTCAACGCCCTGGTGGCATTATCTTGTAATCCGTTTCGCCTTCATCCCTACCTTCTCTCTGAATTCTTTGAGAAACCAAGAGCAGGCCTCTTCACTCGTTTAAATTATCAATTTCTTAAGCAAATAATGTTCTCCAAGCTTGTGTTCTTTTCCTACCTTGCGTTGTTTTCGCTAGGCTTTGCCAATGCATTTCCATCTGGTGAACATGGTGCTATAGCCCGTCGCCAATCAGCAACATCTTCTAGCCTTGTTATTCCCCCTGCAGTCACCACAACGATGTCTATCCAAACGTGAGCCAAGGCTACACTTTTCTTACAATAATTGTTAAGCTAATTTTTGCAGTGCAAACGGTCCAATGAACGAGACTTGCGTCCTCACATTCACCCCCGTTGGCAACCAAATCCAGGAGGTCCAGAATTGCACCATGTCGACGGGCGCGAATGTCGTATCTAGCATGGTTTTCAATCCAGTCTCTACAAGCAGTGTTGCGTCTACTTCAACCGTAAGTCAAATGTTTCCTGCTGGCTGTCTCATCCAAATTCGTTTCTAGAGCGCTTCTATGTCTGCGACCCCTACCGTTCAAGCTGCGTTCTCCATGCCTGGGAGGTCAATACAGGTGTTACCGGTGGGACTTGGAGTGTTTGGCAGCATCACGGGTATCACCATCATTATCGTAGCTTTGGTTACTCTTGAGCGTGTTCGTTATCGCAGGGTAAGTCTCCGGTATACTATGTCCAACTTTTTACTGATTGATTATCCCACAGGTCTTCAGGGAGCGTAGACTAGCCGAGCAGGGCGCTATGATGGGTTACACGGGCAACTCAATTGATTACAAGGTCTAGGGTAATGCGGATCTACAAATCTGTCACCCTTAGTCTTTTCATTTCGTTAATGACTGGTTCTTGTTTATCAAAGCTAGAGCTGTCAGCATTCTCGCTGTGCGTTGAAGAATAGTATCACATTGGCGCTGTAGTCCCTGGCGGCATCTCAGGCTGGTTCACATATACTACCTTCATACAGGAGTTTGAAAAGGATCATTGCAATTGAGCAAACCACTACTACTAGCACCACGCCGGCACCAGCCCTCGACTCGTTCATTCTTAGCACGTTTTGCATCCATCAAATTTGAGTTTGCAAGTCTCAGACATCTCCTAAAAGCAAGACCAAAATTTATGAGGAACAGAAAACAAATGTACGGCTCTTCCTGAGTCAAGCCCATCAACCACTGGCACCATAAATCTGCTTTAGTGGTTACGATAAGTTGCTACAAGACACGTAACTAAATTACATCGTACAGCTAGGTATTGAAGTCACATTGGACTTGAACGTTTCAGCAGCGAGGATGCCGATGCTTCATCTCTCGAACTCACAAGTACATACTTGACCTAACCACTCCAGATGTTAACTCTTTCGCTTCAATTTCTTTCCCTCTTCATGCACATGCTTTGCCTTTGTTATCCGGAACGCTGCGAGAAGATGCACCACCGCAATACACCTCACAGCTTCGGCAATGAAATGCCCTGGGCATCTAACCCAATTGCGAGAAAGATTTCCCTGGATGAGGTTGACCCTCTCCTTCCAAAACCCAATATAGGGTTGGCCGCTATCGTGTCCGGCAAGTGTTCCGTCCCTTTCAAAGTGCCTTTCTGGTTTAAAGACATCAGGATCGTCGTGTCCTTCTCTGGGCATGTCCCTGAAGAGGCGGCTAAGTTACAAAGCCCAAGACTTGCCAGCAAATTGATGCAAATCATATGTTAGGTTGAACGAGAGAGTCTACAGTAAAATAACGCCACATTAGTAGGGATGCAAACATAGAGGATCGGCCGATTAAACTTTTGGAACGATATAGCTCCTAAAGACGTCGTCACTTGATGTTACATGAAGACTTGTCGGAGCAATGAGAGTATCAAATTTCTCACCAAGTGGTGCAACGATATGTCAACGAATGGTTCCCCGAAAAGCTGCCTCCACATACTTCAAAGACGGCCGGTCATAAAATTCCTGGCAGCCTATCAACGCCAAAGGCAGAACCAACTTCTTGTTGAGCAAGCTACTGAGCCCCAGGATGCAAAATCGTCGCTAGTATGAAAGAGGTTAACGTAAAAGAGCTCTGCAAGATTCATCAGTTGATGTGTCGGCAGCCTACCTTACAGTGTAGCATGGTGGACCTACCGTATCAAAACCAACATGAATATGCTGGCTCGCCCTGTAACACACCAGAAAGCGAACACAGTCACGAACCAAGACACTAAGGCAATTTGTTTCACTATCTGTTCTGAAAAGATGCCTCACTCAACAGGAAGGAGAACTTAAATGCAACAGCTAAGATGACATGGAATGTCATGTCAGAGCTTTAATTTGAAGGCTCGTGCCGAATAACCAGGATATGATTCAAAACCAATACAGTCACGATGCTAACCTTGAAAAGGCCCAATACTAGTTCACTGGGAACGATAGGCTGAGTTCTTGCTTGGCTGCATCTCCTAGAGTATACACAAGCAAGTGTTACACACGTGCTGTAGGTCCGAAAACAAGATATATTCTGGCGCAGTCCCAGCTGGCTGCAACATTAAACTGAAGCGAAGAAGTCTGAGAGCCTTTCACTGCGAACGCTGTGTCTAGGGTGTCCGGACTTTGTGTGCTCAGGGTTGTTCGAATGAACGAGTAAGGTCCGAATGATAACAGGGTGCCAGACCGGTGACCAGCTGGCAGCCCGAGTCCAGTGTGAGTTTCATTGTTTGCAGCCCATGCGGAACGTGGGAATGTAGGTGACTAAGCTGAGGTACTGTACAGTTGCTTCGAATTTTGAACTTTAATCTTTGGCTACCCCCAGGAAACAGCAACCAACCTCCTCACTTTCGCCATGGCCCCCAAGCTCGTCCGTCTGCTCTCCTATTTTGCGATTGTCATGCAGTTTTTGACCATCATATTAGGATCCCAACGAAATCAAGATCATCTACCTACGGGCAACAGGGGGTGAAGTTGGTGCATCTTCAGCACTTGCCCCAAAAATCGGTCCTCTCGGTCTGGTGTGTGTCTGGAGTTCAGTATCAAATAATGATAGGAAGCTGAAGCATGAAATAGTCGCCCAAAAAAGTCGGAGAAGATATTGCTAAAGCTACCTCTGCATGGAAGGGTCTACGCGTGACTGTTCAGCTTACCATCCAGAATCGGCAAGCAGCAGTCTCTGTTGTTCCTTCTGCCTCCTCCCTCGTCATCCGGGCGCTCAAGGGTGCGCGGTTTCATCTCTAATCTCATTCCCGTCTAATATCACCTACTTTAGAGCCTCCCCGTGACCGGAAGAAGGAGAAGAACATCAAGCACTCGGGCAATGTCACTCTTGACGAGATTTTCGAAATCGCCCGAACGATGAAGTCAAAATCGTTAGCAAAGGACTTGGCTGGTGGTGCGAAGGAGATTCTCGGCACGGCCCAGAGTATTGGCTGCACGGTGGATGGCCAGCCCCCACACGATGTCATCGATGGTATCAACTCGGGGGATATTGAGGTGCCGGATGAATAAAAGATCATCGAACATAGGGTTCGATTCAGTATTTTTATATCCGCCATGTTTTTTTTTTGACATTACTGCATACATCCAAACGCTCACATACGCATTGCACTGGAGAAAGAATCTTGAGAGGGTCACGTTTTCCATAGTCGCGCTGGCCCGCGTCTCAAAGGCCATCATCAGAAAACTCACATCAAATGAGTGAAAGTTAAGTATGGCTGTGATAAATCGAGAGCATCGTATCATGACGTAGGCACAAAACTCAGCTAATAGATTGATTTTTAAACACGTGACTAACGCGTCGTGCTCGAGTTTTATTCATTGTCACCTGTTCCGTCAGCCACTTTGAGATGGCAACTCGTGCACCTGCGATGGGTTCAGTTCGGGCGAGATTAACTGGAACTCGTTTATCTGCTGATGTGTGCGGAGCTACAGATGATGAACGCAAGTTATTCGAAGTTTTGAGGGCAGTCGCGAGTGAAAATTCTGTTAGGGTTGATGAAACTGATTCTGGGTGTAACAGATATCTCCCGGCTGGGTAAGGTAAATGGATGTCCAATGGCAGTGGTCAGATGTGTTGGTACTATCCCCTGCAACACTGGTTGGTGCTCGGCGCTGCATCAATTCTACAGGTAGAGAATCTAGAGATGACATACGGGTCCTTTCGATATTGAAGCCATGACCTGGTGGTGACAAGTCTTCTGGTACTACAATTTCTGGGTCTATTTGTATGTGGGTACTTCCACATAACAGAGGACTTGTGTTGGATGATTCCTGTCTATTTAGTGATTTGGGGTGCGTATATGCATCATAGCACTGGTGCGGAGGCTGGCTAATATCTCGCTAATTGGCACCCGGCTAATAAGCAACGAGTTTTCTCCCGAACCCCATTTTTGAGGCCGATTTTAGCTGGTCAGGCGGGTGTACCTTGGCGAGAGCTTCTGGGGGCTGTCGGGAAGAACAACATGTTTGTAGCTACAGATCTCAAATTTTAATTCGTACCTTGATCTATTTAATTTTTACAGTAAACTTTCGTCGTCGCATCGACACTGCTCGCAGTGCTACACAAATAAAGCATATCTATCTATTATTATTTTGATGTATCTATACGGGTGCGTATTGAGAGTACGAGCGAGAAATTATCATGAAGAGGTGCTGTAGTGCAAATATACTAAGAGTTGAATCAACTGTGAACAGCCTACGTTCACATATTTCCTATTAATCGGCTGGACAAATACTGCGCATCAACCGAGTGCAGCAATTTAACAAACCGTTTCCAAGTCTTCTCTGTAGGAGCGGCCGTACTGTCAATCTCGCTGATGACAAGCGGATCCTGATACCTGCGCCCATACTTGCCGTAATGGCCAACAAGAGTGAGAATAGTCCGGCACTCCTCTCCCCATTCGGGGGTGAGGTTCAGTGCACGCCAAACATGTCGCTACGTAACAGAATGAATTAAGACCGCACTAGATTACGGACTGTAGACTCACTCTCTCAACCCTTGAGCTTGGCGCGCCATCCCAGTGTGATGGTGTCTTCCTACCCTCGTGTTCCTTAACTCTGTTTTCGACGTAATTATAGGACCACATCATGTCAGACACGCGCTTGGGGCCTCCGTGGGAGATGATCGACATGCATCGGGGCCATTCCTTGTCGCCCTCTATGTCCGATCGAATGAAATTAGCAATCGCGTCGTCCCTCTCATCCACTGTCTCAGCAAGGCGCCCAGGAATGGGGGGCGATATTTCTCGTACACCATCTCCATCAGATGAGGAACTTTCTTGGTCTTCATGCCTTGATTGTCTCGCTCGATGTGGCATGCAACTAGGAGAAGGGGACTTCTGGATCGAACCTCGTGGTGCTTTATTTTGAGGTAATGAATGGCTTTTGGAGGGTCGTTTTCTCTTTTTGGGGCAGTAATCACTTTGCGACAACAAATCGATGCGCATATCACGTGTGACTCCTGAATACATTGGCTGTCTCGACATTTGCTGTCGAGAGGGTGACAGGGCAGTATCAGAGTCAGAGCTAGACATTTGTGGCAGTTCAAGAGGAAGCCGAGGAGGTGGAGGTAATCGACCTTTCGGGACAGGCTGAGAAGTGAAATCAGTGCATCTATTTGGTTGATCAGTGCATCATAATATACGTACAGCTTCGACGACGACTTCAAGTGTGCGCTCTTTGCTCACACCAAGATTACACGATTCTACTTCGAGGACGTTGTCAGCATCCACACGCATGAAGAACTGGCGATATTTTCCACGAAGGGTGTACACCCTCGCAGGACCTGTGAAACAAAATTACAACTACGAATCACTAGCCAAGGGTAACATACCATCTATCCGTGACGGTCCAGCCTGCAAAGTTTCACAGACCTCTTTTGCATTTGCCCAAAAACCACCGTCTGGGTCTTCCCCTGGCCGAAGAACCACCTTGATCTCCGCAAGTTGGTGGTCTGGGACTCCACTTCTGACATCCTCGATGAGGAGCGTCACCATTCGAAGAGGTCGCATTGGTCCTCCAGAGGCTGGAGGTGCTACGGATCGTTCTTGTGCAGCTGCAGAAATGTTGAATAAGAGAGCAAGGTGAAGGCTACCAACTTACATAGAGTCGGTCGCACAGGTTCTTGAGGAGATACTGCACTTGTGGAGGGTGGGCGTGAATCTAGGTTTGCTTCATAATCGCAACGATAATGTGCTCCTGGGCGTGGGTAATGCATATTGGAAGGAGGCGCTTGAAGTTGGCGGCTAGACGTTGATGACTGAGCTAAAGAACCAGAGCCCTGAGCAGTGCGTTGCCCAGTTGATTTCTTGCTTTGTTTATTCTTGGCAGGAATGGCAGGTACGCTAAGTTGCCCCGGGACGCGACTACGACTTGGACCTATGTTATCGTATGCCCCTGGTACCGCATGATACGGACTACGTGGGCCGGACGCTAGTGTAGAAGATGCGGCCGGGGAATGAGCTTCCCCTGGTGACGCACCATCGGCGACTGAAGGGTTAGACATAGTGACACTAGCGCTAGGCGATGTAGCATCACTGATGCGATACATCGAAGAATACGGACCTCCACCACCAGATAGTGAGGGCTGTGTTGAGGGTTCTGGTGTGGGCTCGGGTACCTGAGAGAGCCTAAACCGGCTCGTCTGAGCTGAGTACTCCGGTTTGGCTCTCCTTTTCTTTTTCTTAGGTAACGCCTGTCCTGGGAGAAACTGTATTGCATTTGGATTTGAGGGGAGGACAGCTTGGTAGGTGTTGACAGTTGCGATGGGGAGCACGGATGGCTGCCATGAGAATCCAACTGCCTGGCGAATCAATGGCGCTGGTGTACCATCTCTGGAAGATGAATCCGCATTAGCTTCGACTGGTGCAGGGAGTGCGAGGGCCTCATCGTCGGAATTTGGTGTGAAAGACCGTTTCTGCCGTTTCTGCAAGGTTGCGTGGGATATGTGAGTCGACTGCATGGCCATGACAAGTAGAAGGGGAAAAACGCGTGTCAGGAAGAGAAACGTTTACTTACAGCAGCAGGTGAAGATTCTCTGCTGCTCCTAATAGCCTCATGTAATTGGTAAGTATTGACCAGAAGAAACTCGAGCACTCACGATGATGACGCACCACGCCTACCGTATCCTATTTGTGCATCGTTGTCACTGCCCATTCGCTGTTTGAGTACTTTTACCGGTGAATGAAATGGTTCCAGGTAGAGACTGCCACTGCCAGCAGCTGGTGAGACCAGTTACCTCACCGTCAGTTACTGTGGGTCCCCAAAATTGAAGATGTGTAAATTTAGTTGTGAAATTGTTCTTACAGGTGTGATATAGCGTATACCCTTCTTAGCAAGAAATGAGCGAAACTGTGGATCACGCAAACTAGAATGGACCTACAAAACAAAATCGCAGGACTGGTTGAAGCAACGCCATACAAGAAAGGAAACTCGGGGCCAGTCTCTTGTCCCAAACATGGAAGCACCCCTGATGAAGATGTCTCCTTATCCCCATCAACACGTTTTGTTTTGTTTGTATGTACTTTACATGAGTCGTTATTGATTTTACAGGATATCATCGTTCGATTACGAAAACTGGTCAAGAAAATGGGGAATATTTGTACAGAGCTGGCAAGGTTCAAGGGCATTATGGGCTTCCGTATATCCTCTTTGCATTTAAACTAAAGATCGCGTCGATTGCGTCCTGCTCCACCGCAAGCTCTGCAAATGACTCGCGTACAAGCGCATACCAGTCTGCAGGGTTCAGGAGCGAGGGTGCAGCGAAGGAAGGTGAGGTTCCAAAAATAATACGCTCGTAACCAAACGCTTCCACCACTGGACCAACTGCCGGTAATATCCGTCAGCGTTGTATTAATATATGAGAATATATACGCAAGAACTCACTGAACATCTTAATTCTTCTTTTCCATTCACGATGTTGATCCGTTTCTGAAGCTGGATCCGCGGGACCTGGTATGGTTTGATTCCACATGGGGGGCGTGAACTTTACATAGAGATTTGGAAACAATGACAGGGATGCAGAGTGGCCTTGATAATTGCGATAACTTGGATCAGAGAGGAGCTTGACGATCGGCAGGCTTAGGTCATGCGGCGGCGGCAATATATTGGCTGAAATTTTGTCAGTTTCAAACACTCGCCTTGAGGGGAAAATGCTCACAAAGAACTAAGTTGACCTTCCTGTCTCCAGGAAGTTCTGCGGTGGCTTTCATGAGAAGGTCTTCGAACACTTCATACTTTGCGACATTCGACATGATGTCACTTTGAACGTCAATATCAACGAGATGGCTGTTTGAGAATGCCCATTTCAAAGTCTCGATAGCCTGAGATCTAGCTTCTGGAGCCTCATGCGAAGCTGTGTATGAGGTGTAAAGAGATTGTGGAATTCCAGATGACTCTGAGAGATCTGGATGATCCGGTGGGATGGCGCTAAGGTCGAAGGGAACTGCCACGGAAAGTACTCGAACATTTTGTGTGAGAGACGATTGCAGTCTAAGTTTCGTTGCCAAGATAAGGAAATGCAAAATTTGAAAGTCAAAAGCTTACCCTTCTGGAATCGAAGGGTCATTTAACAACAAAACGGCACCCGCGACCTCAGTGCCAACCAGATCAAGACTAGCACTCTCAAGTGCCTCAGACCGCAGATGAGCGTCAACGACTTCGCCTGGAAAGACCGCACTTGGAGTTGGAGGCAAAGGGAACATGTCAGACGTCCCTGTGCTTGGTGGGCTGAACGCAGACAGAGGTAAACTCGGGAGGTTCTTCGGCCTGCGACGACCACTTGCCAGACCAGCCGATGGAAGGGGTAGCGCGAAGCTCATGATGATGAAGAAAAGTTGAATGAAACAGATCTTGACAAGTATATGTAGGTGCAGAAGCACTGTCCAGCGTCTGTAAGATTTCAAGTTGATGTATCGGATTGCAATGCCAACGATCAAAGCATGATTGATCTGAACCGTTGATTGATAATGCATGATGAGCAAGTTTATCAGATCGTAGTCTATTCCCACGCGTGCTTTCAAACCATTTCGGCAAGTGCCACAAACTAAAAGTAAGTTATACTTCTATCGTTCAAATTCACCAAAAACGCTCAGAATCTACTGGATGAATCATGGTACGCTTGATGCAAAGTGCTTTAATAGCCAAGATTTCCTGCGCGGGCCGCTCGTGTCGGGACAAAACACCATCACTGGCAGTGACTCATGGCGTACAGCAAACGATAATTGACACAGCGGGGCTTTGGAGTGCTCTAGCCAGGTCAAAATTTGCTCTTGATTGAAATCTTGCAAGAGGTAAGATGTTGAATCCCAAAATATGTCAAGGTGTGTTATCTTTATCATAAAAAGAGTCCGGTGTAAGATGTGAAACGCAACAGGTATCTTCCATCAGATTTTCCTCAGGTCATATCTACAAAGTCATGGTACAAGTGGACGTTTCAGCCATATTGAACCGAGTTGGGCTGGCGGTATTCGGAAGACCGCTGCATGCGTTCGTTCCATCGTTGCGCCTTTTTTTGTGCCTTCCAGAAATGTCTGTCTCAATGGCGAAGTATTACTGTGACAGGCCAGAACTCACTGTATAATCATTTTCGTCGACTTCTGCAGTAAAAAATTCATCAAAGGCATGAAGCGCAAGCTGACGTTTCTTGTCCAGACCTTGTTCTCGGTCATATTCGAATCCCCCTTTCTGACTTATCATGCGACCCTGCTTGAATGCCGACTCTCTTCCTTCGCGAATGCCGTATTGTCTACCTTCTTCGAACCCATCCTCCCTGCCGTCGTCAAAACCCTCCGCATACCCAGCATCCCAACCCTCGTTATGACCGGTCACGAACCACTTCTTCCGACAATACATCGGACTTTCTTCTATTACTTTTTCCTTTGCCTGCTGCTTGCTAAGTTCGGTTTGAAACTTTCTTGCAGTATCCCGCGCTCGTGATGCGCTTTCATCAGCTTCATTTCTTTGCCTCTCTAAGACACGGATGTCAGCCTGAAATTTTGTGACCTGTTTTTCCAGGCTTTCGATGAGCATTTGATACCGCCGCATTTCTTCGTTGGCACGCGCAGCATCAGATTCTGCGTAACGCTTGCCCATTTCAGCGGTATTGACACGCACAGCCAGCTCCCGCGCTCGGAGTTCCGCGAATTCTGCTTTAGATTCAGCCTGCTTCGCCCTGCGCATTTCCTGATCGAGCATGTCCCCCGTCGACCGAAGGGTCGATCTAAGGTGCTGTGCTTGCTTTTCTTCTTCTGCCACCACCAGGTTCATCAATTCTGATGCAGAATAGAGGGGTTCGCGGTGTTGTGAGCTAGATGACTGTCTATGACTCTTCTTCCTGTCGACGTTGTGAAGCGTGTTGATAACAGCAGGGTCTTTCAATAGTTCTTTGAGGGGTGTAGGAGTCATCGTTGCTGCGTGTATTTGTGCCATGATGTCAATTCTGCTAAAGTCTGGGGTTCTTCCTTTGCTGGGTAGCGGGGGAGATGTGGGCAAGTTGATATCGCTGTCAAGGCCAGAGGTGAGGTGCTCATGAAAGCGAGATGGGGACATCGACTTGTTGGCGCAATAAGGAGTTGGTACAGCTTATAAGAAATACAGTTGTGTTTTTGCAATCTGTAACGTCACAGCCTTCATCGTGGTATGTGCGCAGTTGCTGCCCCGCTGGCATACGACCCCACCCGGGTGTGCACGTGTTGATTGACACTGCTAGTTTGGTGATTGTGCATAGCAACACAAACCAGCGTTCTAAGCGCTGTATTATGTACTTCCCTCGTATAAGGCCACAATGTAGGCCATTGACTGCGCGTAATCAAGTGGACGGCTTTTTGACTGCAATACTCCTCGAGGCCGCGTCAATTCAGAAAAGGAAATAGGTTCCCATAGATCTGACATGGATCGCCTTGTGAACTCCGAAGCACTTTAAATTTGTAATAACTTACTTTCCATCTACCTCTTGTTCGTTAAGTATTTCTTGGTTAAACTCGTAGAAATGTCGCTCAAAGCTGTAGGTTCGAATATTTTCTTCATTTTCCCGACCTTGACTTGCTGTGTGTAGATTGTAAAATGTGCGTGCACCAACATGTCCGTCCCGTTTTGCGCATTTTGTTAATCCTAGGGCATAAAACTTAGCCGTCATCTCTGGCGACACCCTCGTTTTGCGTGGACGTACAGGACCACAAGGGCAGAGTCCCAAGGAGAGGTGTGAAATTCAGAGAACTCCGGTAGAAAAGCAACACGGTCTGACCCGCTACACTCCACAGAATCCTACATCTTGCTGATGTCGTGGCTCCGAGAATGGGAAACCAGACTCGAGAAGACGAGGTAAGATACTATTGCTGCACTTATGGTCAGTACTGATCAAAGTTGTTTCCAGCCATGGGCATTTGAGTCTCGTGATTTCCTTCGTGCATTGGCAGTAGGCAAGGAGATTTCATTTACTTCCACACATAGTTTTCCTTCCAACGACGATGTCACGCGTGACTTGGGCACCGCTGAAATCGGGGGAGTGGATGTTGCCTCCGAGATGCTGAAGAACGGCTGGGCCAAAGTCAAGGAATTGAAACGGGACCCCACAGAAGACGATATACAAAAACGTGACATCGAAGCTGAAGCAAAGGCGGCTGGAAAAGGCCTGTGGAATTCTCATGGTCCCCAGGTGCGTGTTCTTGGCTGCCATACAATTGTCGTTGCTTCTGTCATTTTCGCAGGCCCGTGTCGTGCACCAAACAATGCCAACTGATTCTCAAGCGTTTGTTTCGGAGTGGAAGGGGAAGTCCATTGACGGTATGACGTATTCTCACGACTGCAGTACTTGGTTTAATTCATATTTTTAGCACTCGTGGAACAAGTGCGGGACGGGTCTACTCTCCGGGTCCGACTTTTCATGCCGGATGGTGAGCATCAAATAGCCAACATCGCACTCGCTGGTGTTCGTTGTGCCAGGACATCCCCAAGGCAAGGAGAACCCTCAGAGCCTTGGGCAGAAGAAGTAAGTCAATTCACATGTCAAATAACTTTGTTTGGATTATGGTCTGCAGGCAAAATTCTTCACGGAGTCCAGGCTGCTCCAGCGATCTGTACGGGTGATTATACTGTCGTTGCCAACTGCGACAGCAACACCATTCCAAGCCGGAGCTAACAGTGCACCACCTCCGCCGGCATCAATATTTATCGGTACTGGTACGTCGTCCTCTGTGTCTGAGAGTATATTTGGCAATATCTGCTGTAGTCCTCCATCCCGCTGGCAATGTAGCTGAGCACCTTGTCGCTGCTGGGCTCGCTCGCGTAGTCGATTGGCATGCCGGTATGCTGGCCGCAGGGGGAGGTATGGAACGTCTGCGAGCGAGCGAGAAAGTTGCAAAAGAAAAGCGAGCATGTCTGTACGCCAATGTGCCAACTGCGTCTGCATCGATTAGCCAGTCAAATCATACTACTAATGGACATGCGCGCGTCTTTGACGGAACTGTCATTCGAGTATGGAGTGGCGATCAAATATCTGTCATTGATAAGGAGAGTGGCAAGGAGCGCCGGTTGCAGCTCAGCTCAACAAAAGGTCCCAAGTAAGTAGTATGTCTTGGTTGTCGACGTCTTCTGATTGTTGTCAGACTCTCCGACCCTAAGCAGGCGTACTATGCACAGGAAGCTCGCGAATTCCTTCGGAAGAAACTTATTGGCAAGCATGTCAAAGTTTCGGTCGATTTCATTCGTCCTCGTGATGGCGAATATGAGGAGCGCGAATGCGCCACAGTCCGATACGGAAACCAAAACTCGTAAGTAAGATACACATTAGCATTTTATTTCACTTATATCTCCAATCCAGCAACGTGGCAGAGCAGTTGGTAGAAAAAGGCCTTGCCTCCGTTGTCCGCCACCGACGTGATGATGAGGACCGTTCCTCTGACTATGATAAACTGATGGCTGCGGAACAAGTGTAAGAACGCAACAGCCTCATTTGTGTTAGATATCATTAACTCTTGAACTCAGCGCTGTTGCCGAGACCCGCGGTATCCACTCCGGTAAAGAACAACCAGCTGTAAAGCCCCCCGTCAACATTTCAGAGGTAAGTATGTTTTTTGGTATTCCGCTCCTCGCAGATCCAGATTTTTTGTAGTCTGGCGCACGTGCCACCACTTTCGTCAATGGCTTTAAGAGGCAAGGCAAGGCATCTGCTGTCGTCGAATATGTTGCCTCAGGGTCTCGTTTCAAGTATGGTTTAAAACTATGTTCTGACGAATAGTTTTGAAATATCATTTTCTCAAGGCTCTTCCTCCCAAAAGATAACCAGTCGCTCACCTTGGTCCTGAATGGTAAGATTAGCAAACCATTTCCAGACTATGCCTCATTATTTTGCAGGCATTCGAGCGCCTCGAACAGCGCGTAATCCTTCTGAGAGGAGCGAACCATTTGGTCAGGAGGCTGCAGACTTTGCAACTCGCCGGTATATGCAACGCGATGTGGAATTTGAAGTGGACACCGTCGACAAATCTGGCGGTTTCATCGGAACGTTGTGGTTGAAGAGTGAAAATGTTGCCGTTGCTCTAGTCAAGGAGGGCCTTGCGTCCGTACACTCCTTCTCCGCCGACAGCTTGGCCTGGTCCACACAGTTGTACGCAGCCGAAGTGAGCGCTGCCTGGCTCCTTGAGTATCAAACTTTTTGATGTCATTATTTTAGGCAGAAGCCAAGCAAGCACAAAAAAATGTAAGCCGCAACATTGATGTACTTCCTTTCGATGTTTGATCATATTCCAAGTTATGGGAGAACTATGACGAAGAGGCAGAGAAGGCTACTCAGGCTCCCCCAACTGAAGATGATTCTGGACGTTTAAAGTCGGAATATCTGGATGTTATTATCAGTGATGTCCGGGCAGAAAATGGCTTCAGTTTCTCAGTACAAATATTAAATACCGAGGGTAAGCTTTACACAGAATCACCCGAATGGCTATTTCTCACCGTATACGTCAGGCATCGCAACCTTAGAAAAGCTAATGCGCGATTTTTCTCTACATCATCGCGTCGCACACCCAGCACCGTCAAATTTTACGCCGAAGGCAGGAGATCTAGTATCTGCCAAGTTTTCGGATGGGTCGTGGTACCGTGCTAGGATTCGCCGTACATCCCCAGTCAAGAAGGAGGCTGAAGTAACATTTATTGACTACGGGAACCAAGACAATGTCTCGTTTTCAAATATCCGTCCTCTTGATCCCAAATTCCGCTCCTTGCCCGGTCAAGCGCAAGATGCTCGCCTAAGGTAATGGTGCAGTTCGCATTTTTGTTGTTCAATGACACTTATGGTGTTGTGCATAGCTTCGTCAGGCTCGTGGCTTCCGAAAGCGAGTACCATGCAGACGCTGTTCAGCGCTTCCGTCAATTGTGCGAGGGTCGCAAACTTGTCGCCAATATTGACTACAAGGAAGGCACTACACTTCATCTGCGTCTCATTGATCCCAATGACCCCGTCGCTACGCAAGATCCTTTAGCTTGCATCAATGCTGACCTACTTCGCGAGGGTTTGGCATCGATTGACCGTAAGGGATGCAAATATCTCGGCGCATACCCGCACATCATGAGTAAACTGCAAACTGCAGTTGCTGAAGCGAAGCGTGATCGTGCTGGGATGTTTGAGTTCGGTGATGTTGAGGAGGACGAGTAATTTACTGGTGACCACGAGTTATGTAATACTACCGAGGAAGACTTAGTCAGCTACTATTACTAGTAATGCCAATACACCTCACTTTCATCGTTCGAATGCTCAGGAACTTGAATCAGGATTGATATTGCGCTTGCAGGACGCGACTTCAAACATGGAACCTACGAGCCAACTCGGTGCCAGTACCTCACTTCCTCAACTAAACAATGGCCCCAAACCTCTCTCAGGCTCAGGCAGTTTCCAGAGCTACTTATCTTCAGCTGGTTCATATCACCGTCATGCTAAAGGGGCAGGTGTCTATCTTGAGAACCAATCGTCAATTCATACTCAAAAGAGCCAATCACCCTACCTTCAAAGCGTAGTAGAAGCTTCTTCCCATTCAGGACCGTTGTCTGGTGTTATACGATTTATAACCAACTTCCCTGGAGTCCTGCTCGAGGACCTACACCGCTTCCGCTATGGACACCTTGGAAGACTACGGATTTTGTTGTCCCTTTACTGTTGCGTGAGCGTTATCTTCCTCTCTTTCAAGATGCATAGCGCCTTGCGGGGTGTTGTTGCAGCCGGCCGCCCACGCATAGCTCATGTCCCAAGTACGTTGCCAAGGATATTGGAATACACATTTTCTAAGATGCAGACATGTCAGACTCGGACACATTATACCGTGTTTCCCCTCTCTCGAATTTGTCGGTTCAGCAGCGAATGTCCATCGCGTTTCCCAATATTCCGCCACCTGGTCATCTGGAAATCTTTACCCTGGCTACTCATTCATCAACGGACAATGACCTCACCGCTTGCCTGTGGACCGAAGAAGATGGGCTGCACGACGCCATTACCTCACTCGCGACTTGGTCGGGTGATTTGGACTCGGTTTTTTGTTGCAGAGCGCAATCGCTTATGGGTTTATAGGTCCTTTGTCTCTGGTCGTCGTGACGTCGGGTCCAACGGACCGTCTTGCTATGCTCAAACGATTTCCAGAAATTTTAGGCTTCTTTGATACGCACTCCTCATTCGGTTTGTCGTTCCACGTACTCCAAGTTTCATCTTCTTTTGGAGGATCTGCCAATGCTTATTTAAACGTTGCTCGTCTTTTGGCCCCCACTGATCGAGTTGTCCTGTTCCCGGATGGTTTGCCTTCACACCTCCCGAGTAATTTGTACAGCTCCATCATTCGGTCGACGTCCATGCAGCCTCTTGTACTGGGCAACAATAGCCGTAGGACGTATCCATTCCTCCCGATGTCCCCCGTTGTTCTTCCCAAGGATTATCCAACATGGTGTACCGAGCGTTTCTCTCTTTTCCAATCTCGATCACTCGACTGGGAAGATTGTCTCTGGCAACTGTGGCTCGAAAGTGCTGGCTCAGTGAAGTCTACGGCGGTGGATAGCTGGCCAGTGTTGGAAACTAGTAAATCCAACAACTCCGCCCTATCCGTATGTTGCACGACTTAGACGCCTGGCTCCCTCATTTGTGTCTTACGAATTACTTCAGGCAAAGCTAAGACGACGTTGGACTGTCAAATATCGTGCAGAAGCGTGTGCCCTCGCAATGAAACGAGCACAGATATTGGAAGTGACTAGTTATGCAGACAAGAAGGCATTCCAGTGGCGCAAGAAATTCTGTCACGAGGTGAGGTCTTAATGATGTCCTGGAACCTTGGTGTGGAATCGTTTGCTAATAAAGTTCAAGTCTCTGGGTACTTCCCCGGCAAACGCTGCTACTTAATCAACGGACTTGAGTCTATTTCAGGTTTATGTTTCACTTGGACTTTAATTGAAGACGCTTGGTGTAGGATCCTTGAGGATTTGAAAGAGACATGTCATTCATTCACCGTAACACGCGAGAAGACACCTGTGCAAGAGTCATTCGGGGTCAGCTGCAAACCGTTCCCTTACTCGTCCGGAATCAATCTATAATCTCAGCATCTGTTTTACTTCGTTGAATGTTGAATGTTGCACTCTGATTCAAATTTGGTCGAAGTATTGCCAAACTCATCTGTGATACTAGGCACTCTGTCCCATGACAAAAACGTGTCAATTAAAAGCTGTAAAACGGTTTCTGCATCTTCCAGAACTCACGGGTAACATGTGCTCGGGCAGAATCAAAGTGCCCAGGATTTTGCCAGGATACCTCCCGATAGACTGGTGACCAGCCCGTCTATGAGGTCACGGGACACGATGACCTCCCGAGGTGAGATCATTCGACGCAACACAAAGCTAAAGGCATGGCTCTAGATAACACTGCCAACAAATCGGCAGACATCCGCGTAGAGATACTGTTAATGATTTCAGGAAGATGACAGCCTCTCATACGGCATGAACTAGATCACGTTGGCAGCAAGCCGTCGAGCTTCCACCTCTTCATCATCCTCCATTTCTTCATCTGGCCCCTCTTGGTACGTGGCCCATATAGCATCCATCTGTGGCACGTCCATCAACAACTCCAAAAGATCCTTGGCAAGCCCTGTGCCACCATTAACCGGAAGCATGAACATTATGCAATTAGCAGCATACCGGCAACTCTTTCCAAGTCCTGTTTGTCCTCCTCTTGCACCCACTCCGGCACATCAGCAAAGCTGAGACGTCCCATGGTAACAACAAAAAGATGTACAAGACCGTTGTAGTGCCGTGGTGCGTGCTCTAGACGCTCTCGTAATCTAAGGGGAGCTTCGGCTTTAAACATCAAATGGTGTAAGAGAAAGGTCGTTTGGTACATCCGTCGAATCACTCTGCATAAACGATATAAATATGGCGAGTTTAAGGCAGGAAATCCGTTACCTTGAAACAGCCTGGGGATCAGATTCCATTGCCTCGTCACCTTGCCACACAGGTGCTGATAGCCCGTACAAATAAACAATGATCGAGGGTATCACGGACTGCGACTCGATGATAATCGTGTGAGCAGTTGGATGAGCCTCGGAGAGCATGGCAAAAAACGTCAGGATGTGCCGCTTGATCCCATCGGCCTGATGTGATGTAAGTAGATCACATAAAGATTACATCAGCGTATGTACCTCGTCACTCGTCCTACTGGAATCAATCAAGAGAGAGCACATTCGTTCAATATGAGGGAGCCGAGTATAGTCTTGTGATTGCCCCTCGGTGTCAGGAAATGATAAAAGGGGTTGGAAAAGGACGGGTCCTAAACGAAATTATCAGACAGACGGGAAATTGTTGTAGGAAGGTTATGCTCACGAGTCGAGAACCGAGAAAGCATGCGTGTACTGTGAAAAAGAAACCACATCGGCCGAGAGGAGTCCAGAAGGATCGATAGCACAGAAGGGCAACGAGGTACAAAGGCTAGTCTATAGCACTCGTCAGCCACGATTGAGTAGCGAATAGCCATCCTCACCTATCTTCCAAATCACTTGGAGTATTCCAACACAAGGCTTCCAACAGCGCAAGTGACTCCTTGGCAAGTAAACCTAGCTCCGATTTCTCTGTATCGTGACTTACTAGTTTACTGACGTGGTCCTGAATGATAGAACATATCACAGCGAGAATGCGAGGAATTCCGTGTTCTTCGGAGTCCGTCGCATTATCCACTAAGAGATATGAATGAGGTGCTGGAAGAGTGTACGTTATTTGAGTGAGTTGGCTGAAAAGGGCGGCTAAAGACTTGATCTGAGGGAGAAATCCATGATTCCTAAATTGAACACAATACATATGAAACACATACATGGTCAGAGGCAGCCAGTATATCTGCCATTTTTGTAAGAGCCTCGCAAATCACTTGGGCTGCGAGTTCCCAAGCTTGATGCTCCTGAGTAGGTACATTGGCGAGAACGTCCAGTATACGAGAACATGCAGAAGTATATGCATCTGATTTGGGTCCGATCGGTAGTGAAACCCCCAACAAGGCATGAAATGTAATCATCCTGCACGCTGGTTCCATATGCATTAGGACAAGCCGATGCAACTATTCCAATTGTTACAAAAAGCCAGGGCACAATGGGTGGTACAAACTTACATCCACAATCCACTTGTGAGGCCCCACCTCGTCAAATTCTTCGTCCACAGCGGCATGAATCTGTCGATCCTGAGCTCTGTCGGTCATCTCGACGTCGTCCTGCGGATAGAAGTTTATATCCATATTAGAGTCAGCCATGAACACGTCCCCTTGCGCCGTCCCGCCATAACTATCATTCCGAGCCATTTGAGACGAATTTGTCTGCGTGCCTTCAAAAGGAAGTGACGCTGGCGGATGGCCATTGTCGAACTGCACTTGCAATGGACCCCTCTGGTTTGAGTCAGTTACCATGTCTTTGCCTTTCCTGAAATCTGTCACCCGCGACTTCGTAGGGGATGTAGAGGTTTGGAATCCAGATGGTAGATTTCGGGTTTCAACCACTGGTTTTCTTGTACGCTCATTATTTACAATTTCGCCGAAGCGAGGTCGGGTGGGACTCTCTTGTATGACTCTCGAAGGGCCTGCCACAGCTTCGTTCTGGTTCCACTTTTGCATCTGCAAAGGCAAAGGCACAGGTGTCGCAAGAGGTGCTAATGGGGCTTTCTTGGAGCGCGCAGACCACGGAGACTTTCGGGTAGATGTCTCGATCTCATGTTGCTATCAAATATATCCTTAGCCTGTAGGTTAGCAGATAAAACTCATCCATACCTTGAAAGTAAACAATGTCCTCAGGCGTTCTGCCTCCTCTTTCATTTCTTTCTGCATCTGTGTTTGTTTGGCCTCCGACTCCTCCTTGGCCGCCCTGAGCTTCGCTATTTGCGCTGCATGATCTTGGGCTATCTAATCAGGCTTTCAGTTGTTCTGAGGTGACCGATTGATGGTGAATTACCTTCTCGATATTTTTCCTGAGTATGACAACTTCTCCATCTTTGGTGAGTTTAGCAGAAAGCGTGTGCCGCAACTCTTCCTGCAGCCTCACTTTCTCTTTGTGAAGCTAGGCATACATTATCGTTATGACATCCATTACTCATCTAGAACGCAAGGTATCAAACCTCGTTCTTTTGCTTTCGCAAGCAAGCCAGACGCTTTTCTAATTCAGTACGAGATAGTGTCACGTTAGACTCGGATGTAGCTTGAGGGGCAGGGGCCAATGCGATAGGCTGTTGCAGTTCAGCTTTGTACGTGTCATCACCGCACACCGTGATGTCGGGTAAATTTTCGGTATCATCAGGAGAACCACTGAGGGCACTGAGATCCTGCGGAAAACCTGTGTCCAGTTTTTGTCGCTTCGCTGGAGGTGGTAGGTCCTCTACGTCGGGCTCCTCAACACGTTTGGACTCCTCAAACCTGGACTCCTCCTTGTTAAGGATGGCTAGTGTTTGATCATCCAAAACGAATTCATCGGGGAAGTCTTCATCGGAGTCGAACATGAAAAACGATCCGAGACTTTGGACCCTGTCCTCATCGAGTGGACGCGTCGTACTGAATGTGAGAAATAGTTGCCATTTCAAGTGATACATCAAGACGCGCGACGCGCTCTTGACTCTCACTACAAGTGACTGCACGGCCCAATTATTTATACCATCTATCTACAGACTTTGTTTCACCGACCACCTGTCGTAATACAGACATGTCTTGGAAAGCAAGCTTTCAGCAGGGAATTTCTGACTTCAAGAGAAATAAACATTCTGAAGCCCTTGCACTCTTCGATGAAGTATGTCTTTCAATCGCATCATCTGTCCAGTTGACCGTACTAATCCAGAGTGAAGGCCGTTTCACTCGGCTGTGACTCCTTTATTGTTTATGATTCTCGTGCCGCCGTGCATGAAAAGCTTGGAAACAACAAAGCTGCTCTCCTTGACGCGAAGAAAGTCGTGGATACTGCTCCAGATCGTTGGCAAGGCTATGCTCGCTCAGCGCGTCTATTCCATGCGCTTAACAAGGACGAATCGGCCATCAAGATGATCGACCTTGCTCTCGAGCGTATCAAACCAGACGATGTACAACGTCGTCAGGAACTCAATTCGCTGAAGTCACAAGCAACCAATGCCTTGATTGCTACTGACGAAAGAAGGCGAGCTCGCATTTCAAAGACAGCATACCACATCGGCAAGTTACCTGTGGAAATCTTCGCGGAGATCTTTGGCTTCGTGGTTGCTGCAGACCACGCACAGATTCTCAAGTTGTCACATGTCTGCAAACATTGGCATGGCATGGCTATTAAGACTCCTTCACTTTGGCAGACACTGGTGGTTTCGAAGCACCGTCCCACCAGAAAGGTACGATTATGGATGGAACGAGCTCGAACACACATATCGGACCTCTCTTTTCACCATAATATATCAGAGATGGATTTGTCATCCATCCTCTTAGAACTCTCGACATTATCTTGGTGTGGCCTCCGTTCTCTCGCAGCATCAGGAAGCTTGTTCTCCCGACTCTACGATCTGCTCCATCAATTATCCAAGACAGAAGCCATTTCGCGCCTCGAACATTTGGATGTCACAGGGTGTTCGGGTTTTGAGAAATTCTTGCCAGACTTCGAAGACTCCCACCTAGAAACCCTGAAAATTGCCCACTTTACCCCTTCAATGGGCGGGCTGTGGAGTCGAGTGCGTCGGCTCAAAACCATGACCATCGAGGCAGGGTGGATAGAGGTAGTCCCGGCCTTGACGGCTAATCAGTCACTGGAGAATCTCGTACTCTCCGATTTGGTCCCAATCCCGATGCAGTCAGTCGGCGATGACCGTGTAGAACTTTCCAGCCTCCAATGCTTGAAGCTCTCCAACATCGCTTCGGTTTCTATCATCACTCACGTCGTTGTCGCACCTAATTTGCAAGTTCTACATTTGTTCAACCTCGGCCATTCGTCTGACGTGCTAGAATTTGCGCACGGTGATTCTTTTCGGGTTTTGAGGGAACTCCGGATTGCAAGCTGCACTACTACCAGTAGTTCGCTGAATACCATTATCGCTGGAGCGCCTTTATTGGAAACCCTCCAGATATCAAGCATGCACGGAGTCGTTAATGAAGTACTTGACTTTATTTGCGGCACACGTCCGAACAATCAGCATCAAGACATGTGCACCTTCTTGAAACATGTCGACCTCTCAAACTGTGGTGACCTACTCACCGGAAAGGCTTATTCCCTTGTCAAGGCCCGCTTACGCACTGATCAGCCCGTCACCATAGATGGGAGTCAGCCTGGGTGCAGGGCCGAAATCGAGTCCTTGCGCTTAGATGGTTGTCCTCTTGTGGAAGCGGAGATGCTGCCATGGTTCAGAGGAAAAGTGAAAGTATTTAGTTGCGTGTATATGACGAAAAAAGATGGCAAACAAAGGCGATGACGAGCTGGACTGGCCCGCACCGATACCAAAATTTAAAGTGATTTTTTATTGACTTTGCAATAAGAGACTACTCAACATACCGATGATGATCTGCAGCTATCTTGAAACCCACTTCAAAGCTTGAGAAGAGATACAAGCAATTCCCTTTAGGTGAAAGCACGCAGTAGGTACAACGAACTGTGCCGATCGTGTATTCATGGAGTGCTGTGTAAGTCGGGTATGCCTTGCCAATCGGTGTTTACAATCAAAGAGATGGTTGTAGTTTACATTGCTTTTAATCTTATGTAAGGACCAGGTACTTAGACTCGACACCAATTATCAAAATACGTGAAATGCAACTCCGTAATACCGACGAATGTCAGATGATAGATTACAGAAACTAAACAGAAAAACGTAGCAAGAAACGCGGCTACTATGTGATTTCAGCCAATATGACGAGACTTACGGATGGTAGCCACGGGCTGAGTGAACAGCCAAGGGAACCGTCATGTCAGCTTCATAGCGCATGTGAGAATGACAGGGCTGAATGCCACTGAGGCGGTATGAAACTCGTTCACGAACTGTCGCTACGTAAGAGCGCTCCCGCCGATGCATCGATCTAAGCTGAGGATGAGGCTTGATGCGATAAACGATACAGCGAGTGCTATCCGACATAGCGGATCTTGATTGCACCAGCCCTGTTGCGTACTTCGAGGGCTAAACCACACGTTAACGTCTGTGCAATATCTGTAGCATGTGGACCGAACCTTTCATTTCTTCCGCTTCCTCTCTCTGCTCGTAGTCCAGGACCAAACGTTTGAGATGTTGTTGCTCTACTTTGTCTTGAAGTTGTGCAGATCGCGTGTGCACAGCGAGCGCCGATTCAGCTGGTACAAGAAGATGGCGACCCTATCATCGCATCGTTGGTGAGGACAAAATAGTGAGGCTCAAGACAAAGATGCGCACCTGTTGCTTACTTCCGCGTTTAGTAATGACAGTGAACTGCATCACGGCGTCACCGTCCGTATTGTTGTCGCCGCCAGCATCGACATCACCTTCATCAGCCCGTTTTTTGCGCAAATTAGGGGCGAGAACGGCAGAATCCCACCAAGCTGTCTTCTTGTCGACTTTTCTGGACTCAGCTGAAGAATCTGTGATAATTTTAGCGAGCTCTTTCTCAAACTCGGCTTCGGCTTCCTCAGATGGTCCGAGATGTTCTTGTGTGGATAGAACGACAACTGGGTCAGGAGACGACGTTCGATCTTCGTTCTACGAGGTTTGGTCAAACTTTGGTTATTGCACAGATAGGGTTCAGCCAAGCTATCGCTTACCGAAGATTCCGGGCCGGTCGTATCGCCATCATCTTCGTCTTGTTGTTGAGGCCGTTCACCTTCTTCGTCACTATCTTCCCCACTATCCTCACCAGTTGACACTTTTCGATCTGTGAGTCGAGTACCCACAACAAAAAGTGGCAAACAAGCGTACAACCAGCGTTCTGCAAAGCAGCATTAAACATGTCATCAACAGCTACAGCGGCTTCTTCTATTGTCTTGTACATCGTCAGCTTGGGCCGGATAGCCTGCAAGTGAATTGAGATCAGATATGCTATTTAGAGCAAACTCGCTCACCTCAATCGAATCAGAGAGCATGAAGTCAACGTCCATGGGTAGATCTTCCTTGCATAAAACATAGTACTGCAGCGCCATCGTGTGAGCATGGACGCGAAAAAGATATCTGGCAACTTTTACCTGGAAGAAAACAAGGAAGTGATCAAGTTTTCGCTTCTGAGTTCCTCGGTCGAAGCACATGCCAACAGTGTCAAGCAGAACGCAAACGAGACGAATGCGGAAAAAGTCGTTGGGCATATCCAGTGGGCAAGGCTGACGGGGCAACGGATGTCCTTCAGCTGTGAAAAGGGGTAAGTTGAGGCATGCAAGTTATGTCATGTACTGACGATGTCCAAATGTAACCAGCGACCACAATGTATCGAACACCAGGGTCGACCCCAACAGCCGGTAGATGTAGAGTTCCCCCAGATATTTTATGGCGGCCACACGGCGTTGGTTCGTGCTATAGACGTTCTGTTCTAACCCTCTTCGAATGTCTTCGAGAATCTGGTCCACAACTGATATCGCGAAAGCGGGGTGGTAACGTTGGAGGTCGTATGTCAGCATAGCCAACAAATTGATGTTGCCATATTTGATTTTCCAAGGCTTGGTGAAAACTTTATGCAGAGCACGCTGAACAATTGGATCATCCCAATCAAGCTTGCGAAGGAGCTTAAGGACTTTATCAATGGTCTTCTTAGCTAGAACGTCGTATATAAGATGGCGGATGAAAAGTTCGAAAGGAGCGCGTTCCTTCTGTTGCCTCGGAGTTCGTTCAGGTGGGTTACACTGCATTATTTGTGTGAGTAAGGTCGATCCACCAAGTACACGGAACTGACCTGATAATACGCGTTTTCAAGTAGGAGGATCTGTCTTTGGTCGAAGTGCTGCATACTTTGCTTACGCCTCATGAGCTCAAGCTGCAACATAACATTTAGCGATTGTCAGCCTGCATGAATTGCAAACTGACCATGGTACTAAATCTCTCCCTAGTCTCGTCACTGCGCAATAAAAAGCGACCGCACCCTTCAAGGAGCATCGAGATATTTTCGACGTTCGTTCCAGAAAAATCGTCCAAGCATACTTTGAACATGTGGAGGACAAGATGAGAAGGCACGACGCGAAACTTCGTCAAGCTGGACAAATATAAGATATTCTTTTCATATTGATTAGCATAGGGGGGATAGAGCGAGCGGATCATTGGTTTACCTTCAAGCGAACCTCTGCAAGCTCTTTCACCACGTTTTTCTTTCGTTGCAGATAACGGAATTCTTCATCCAGCTTGAAAAACAATTGTGACATAGGACCTTATCGAGCTAAGATAAAGCTCACCAGTGCCACAAGCTCGGCACCAATGTCCGGCATGTATCTGTTCAAAGTTGCCACAAACCTCGCATAGTGAGGAAGCAAGTCGGTCCGATTCTTTGGCACAGCACCCAAGAACTACAGAACTATCAGTCCATTCGGACCGGGAACAAGCCTGACTGCTGACCTTGATAAGCCTCTTCCTAGCTGCCTTGGAGTTCAAGAACGCGAAATCAATTGCAGCTTGATCAATCATGGTACGATTTGTTGCGTCGGGGAGGCGTGCAAGTAAAGCAGTAAGCAACTGCGATGGTCCCTGAGGAGCGAGTTGAGGAGACAACGGGGGACTTGAAGCCTTAGTTGGGGACGTCGGTGTTGGTGTGATTGTCCTAAAACAGTATAAGTGACCCTGCAATCTTGAGGTGACTGATAAATAGACAGACACACCCATCAGGTTCTTCCTCGCGCATCTCGACTTCGGTAGTACCATTGTTTCTCCCATTTTCTCGATCACCGTCCAGTTTCAGGCCCTCCAATTCCTCTTCTAGTTTCTTTGCTTCAGCATCTGCTTTCTCCTTCTCCACCTTTTCTCGTTCTTCCGCAACCTCCTGATCTTCTTTTTCGTCGCCCTCAATGCCCAAAACTGACTTTGGTACGAAGTCCTTTAGGTCCTGGATATCTTCAAAGAAGCGACGCTCTTCCTCATCCTCCCATTTACCCCCAGAAGTCGCAAGAGGATCTTCTTCATCGCCTGAGACGGCATTTCCTCCGATTTGGATGGAATCCGACTTCTGGGACGCCGTAGGCAATGATGGCATCGGCAGGTATAGCAGTTCCGAGAGTCTGAAAACAGATACATCAATTGTTGTAACTGCTGGAAGATTAGTTCTGAAACCAACGTTTGGCAGCTCGCAAGTAATTTCTCGTAGCCTTTCGTCATCTTCTCATACGCTTGTTGCCTATCCTCAAAAATTTCCCCAGACCGGATATATGCTTCGTGATTCCTACGATCTTGATCTTGCAGGCGCTGCGAAAATGATGGATTAATTTCTCTGGAAAAAAATTATATATAATTACCTTGTGCTCTATGGTGAGTTTCTTGGAAACGCTGTCAAAATAACCTTCGCACATGCGCTTGAATCGATCGCGAATTTCTTGTTCAACAAGTTCCTCGTTCTCATGCAAGAGCGTCGGAAAATCTCCTTGAGTGGCGTTCGTAGTTGTTGAAGACAAGGTTCCAGGTTCTGTTTCAGCAGATATCTGCTTGCTCTGAGGAGGCGTCAAGCCCAAATAGGGTCTTGAGTACGACTTCAGAAATATGGAAAGAAGGGGTAGAGATGACAAGGTTGGATCATTAGATAACTTGGCAAACGTCAGTTATGCCTTGAGCAGTAGTTGATAGAGCCCACCAATTCCCTCAATACTTTCATTATCCATTCACCGCCACTTCGTTTCTGTCCATCAGTAATGATTCCGACCAATGCGAGCTCGGAACAGACACGGAGAATGGGACGCTGTCGGGAAACTCGAGCAGAATCCTCCTTCTCCCGCTGCTCGGGAGGTAACGCAGAGAGAGCTGCACGAGAAGGGGCTGCAAGTGCGGTAGACAAGGATGAAATGAATGAAGGAGTAAATGCTGCGGGGAAACGTCTATGGAGAGCTGAAATAACCTGGAATTGTTGAGCGGTCGATGTATGTGGCGCTCATGTAAGTTTCCACTTACCTCAACAGCACTCCAAATATCCTTCTCCGTCTTGCATCTCGTGATTCCTTCTAGTGCGGCCCCAGCTATCTCGTCGATGTACTTTTCCAGCGACAACGAGTCTATATCCTTGAGTATTTGGTCACGATGATCAGCACCAAGAGTCTGGCGCATGCGCTTGATCAAACCAGTGTGACGCTTCAGGGTCGAGTCCAGCCTAGACGACTCTGGTAAAATCATAATTAGGTGCCTCCGGGTACGAACGATCACCATGACTCACCTTGGACGTCCATGGCAGCGTTCAGCTCCCTCAGTTTTACACGCTTAGCATGGCGTGCTTTCTCTTCGTCGACTCTAAGGAGTGCTGAATCCATCACTTGCCCGGGGATGCACTATCAAGGACGAACAGAGGGCAGCACTACTACTACTGAGCGGAAGCAGCAACGAACTCCTGATTGCCTTTTTGGGACTGAGTACTTCTCATTGGCTGGTGGTGCTTACTAGACCACATGGAGGCTCCTCAAATTTTAACGGCGGCCATCGCGACAATGTGCTCATAACTGAACGGTCAAGGAACGTAATAGAGGTGTGTTGGAAGGTTTTTTTTACGAATTGTATCATAGAGGCCTGATAATAAAGTCATCCGCGGTACTTCTAAAAAGGTGCTTTGAATTAATCGGCAACAGGGCTCAGACGCCAGGGACCAGGGTACACCGTGATGGTGCTAGTGCCCAATTTGACTAGAAGCATACGCCGCGGGGCCCAATCGAGTACTGGTGCCCCAACTTTCGTTACGGCGAACACTGGGTAAACTTCCAAATGATCAGATTAAAATTTACCGCCGTTTCCCTGCAAACACATGTGGCAATCACGATACACGACAATTAGATTCTAAATCAACAGCTATGCAACGTGAAATACAATGCAACGAAAACAACAGTTGGACGGCTGGCATAAATAGTACATTATAGCGAAAAGGATATGAATGAAGCCTGAGAGTGAATGATGGAGCAAATGAGACGCAGGGGAAACAGCAAATAGCGTTAAAGCATAAAATAACTCGGGGGATATCGGTATAACACGTAATGAAGTAGAGGAGATCGCACGATGAATGTATCGGAACGGCGTGAAAAGATACGTACGACACGACTCTGACGGTCTCCCAAAAAAGGTTACCAGCCGCCTCCGACGGGGGCATGAGGCCTTTGAAGGCAGATCTCAGCCAGATCACGTGGTATACTCAGTCAGCCTCAGCTCCGACAGGGGAGGGGAAAGGAACACTGTCAGTGCCACGTCGACGTCGTCTGTCCTCACCGGAAACACGAGTTGGTGGGTGCCGCGAGCCAATATTACCAACGTTTCCAGCATTGGGATACCTGTAGTGACCTGCACCAGTGCTAACGCCAGGAGGGTACAACGTTCCACGATTGTACGAGCTGCGCTCCTTCCTCCGCATATGTGTGGGCTTGGGGAACTCCTCTGGAAGTCCCTGATTCGGCCCGGGGTCGGAGAAGAATATTTTTGGACGCCATTCCTCACGTTCATCCATAATGCATGAGTTCTTAAATTTCTCCACGAGGGCTTCCTTTCCCCTATCATAAGGCTCGACTTAGTAGTGTCAAAGAAATCAGGGCGAGACGTACTGATAGTTCGCATAGCTCATCTGAAGCACCTTCTCACTCGAGTATATATTCCTGATGATAAAGTCAGCACATGTCTTTCACCGCATGGTACGCATCTTACCACTTCTGATTTAGGCGCTCCTTCGCGAAACGTAACAAATCCTGCACCGATATGAAATTGACGAAGGCGTAGCCAACGTTGCATCCTGCATTCACTGTATCAGTATCCGCTGAAACTGTTAAAACCGCAAACGTCGTACCGTTCTGGAAATCCATCCTCAGGTACAAAAAATCAATTTTCCGAGGACATACTTTGTTGATGTACGTGATAAGTTCCTTGTCCGTCATTTTATTTGGAATATTTTTAACCATCACGGTGGTCCGCGTATCGACACCAGACTCGATCTTTCTGATGTCCAATTGATTGCCCTCGGGCGGAGCGCGAGATGAGGAATGGGCCAGCGATGGCAGGCGCGTAACAACAGCACCTGGCTGAAGCGAAGCGGAAGATGCAGGATATGGGAAGGAATATTCCGCTACCGGGTGCGATGGCTGCGGATAATAAGGCGAGGACGTGTACATGGTCCATGGTTCTAGAACGTTGTGTGACTGGAAGGTCACCCAACCACCGCTCATAGCATCCCAATATACGGGAGGAGCCGACATGGGGGATTGGGGAGGAGGAGGATGCATCGCCATAGTAATAGGGTTTGGAACCGGAGTTGATGTTACCCAAGGTGGCTGGTTTATATCGAATGGGGCACCATGATAATACTCCGTCGTATAATATGTCGCCAGATGTGGTGCCGTGCCCGTCGCTGCTACAGTTAAGCCGGTGGTATCACCGACTTCTTGCTCGTGATCATACATGCTATGCTTCCGATGATCTGCATCAAATAACTTCTGATGAGAATGACCACGAGTAGAATCGAATACTGGATGATTGGAGCTGCGCCTGCCGTACTGTCCCTGAACGACGGAGTTGTCAATGATGTTGATATCGGTGGATTCACCGCGGCTATGAGAATGATGAACGGGGTGAATGTCGTGAGGCCCTGCTGTGGATCTCCTTCTGTCTTTCAACGTTTGACTGCCAACGATATTATCACGGGAATCGAAAGCGGGCTGCTCACGCTCTGGGTAATACCCACCTGCACCGACGTCATTCAAGACGGGAAATGGAATTGCAGCTGGGTTAGACGTGGCTTGCGATTGCGATAAATAAGTAGTCGCCGTGGGTGTCTTCGGCTCCGCGGCATGTTCGCCCCCGATTTCGCATTCTCTATTAAATGACGAGACTTCCTTCTGAGATTCTGCCGAATAATCGCGTAAGGATGCCCTGCTGAAAAGACGAAGTTTCATGCTATCCACGACACGTCCGTCCAGCTCCTCCCAAGCTGCATCCGCATCTCGGACATCAAAATATTCCACTCGAAAGATCTAGGTCGTTCAACAAGTTAATGACTTGCCAATTACAGAGTGAGGTCAGAAACCAAGTAGCCGAAAGGAAAGCCCGCGCAATAGTAGGTCAAAAGTGAACGCTACGGGCTAATCGTAGCATTGGACAACGGAACACAGACAAGGATAGGCAAACAATGAAAGACTTACCTGAGTAGAGCTCTCGATGTCTTCGTTAATACAGTTGAAGGCCTTGACGTCCCCAAATTTTGCCAATACACTCCTGATTTTGACTGGAATAGCAAAATGCCTCTGGGTTCGAGAAGCAGAGAAATCGGGAGTAGGCGAAGTATCATTAATAGATATACAGAAGGCGCCCTCTGTTCGCGTCATAAAAACGGGCGACAAAGTGCCCAGAAGCTTACCGCAAGCGTTATATTAGCGAACTATAGATATCAATGACGAAATGACCTTACCTCTGCACAATGACCAGTTTCCGCAAGACAGCATGTTAACGTCTCTTGCCAAGCAACACCAGTAGCTTGCGCACTCGGGATGGTCTTACCATCATCTTGCATCCGCTTAGACGCCCTTGACTCGATGATACGCTTTGCGCGTTCAGCATCGCGTACGTCATAAAATGCCACTATAAAATCCCGATTTTCCGGAGTCCTACGGAAAATTTTTTGGATCGTTTGTGACGGAAAGTGGCGGATGGAACGCGCCCTAGGGCTAGTGATGGTAGGAGATGAAAGACTCTTGAAATATTGAGTGATGACATCCTCGGACAGATCATTAGGTGCATTTCCGATCTGTATACATGAAACTTAGCATGCCTCTTAACAAATCCAAAAAGTCCTCACGATCAGAAACCTGCTGTGCTGGTTGCTTTCGGGACCAGAATCAGCGAGGGTGAGACCCTTCAGATCAGCAATGGGAACGTTGGAATCTGTTGATTCAAAATCGGTGCCATCGCTCTGAAGAGATGACGATGGGGTGAGAGGTGGGGTAAGGTAATGACTTGTTGTCGTAGGCTTCCTGGAATAAGTCTTTGAACGACTGGCATCCTTGGTAGTAGAGGGCTGCGGGGGTACTGGAGAAGCCGAATTACGCAAGTTTGATGATTGCGGGGGAGCCACGTGGCGAGATGTAACCATCTCTCGCGGACTTGGTCTATACGAAAAGGTGAGCGATATTGAAATAATGATGCCCGGCTTAGGAAAGATCCCGGCTCACCGTAAATTTGGCAGGGAAGGCGATGGCTGGAGTCGCGGAGGTCTAGTCGAGCACTCTCTTGTAGTGCGCTCGAAGAGAGACATGGTGGAGGTGGTGAGAAGGACTGGAAAGGTTGTTTTCGTGTGGAGATAGACGTTTATAAGAAATGTAAACGAGAAGCTGATTGAAAAGGAAGAATCGGAGAAAGGAGAGCCTGAAAGGCGAAATTGATATAATGACTTGCTCAGATTGACGTACAGAGAATCATTATAAGACGTCGAAGGGAGAAGGCTCGTGGAGTCGCCGTGAAGGGCTCACGCGGGAGATGATGGAAACAAAGAAGGAATGAGTTGACCAGACGTGGTGAGATCTTGTACTCTCCACGGGGGATTGAAAGGTTGCAACGTTGCAAGCTTTGTATTTGAAGGAATAGCAAAAAAGAAATAATGAAAATCCGGAATGCAGGGTAAAGAGTTTCCAGGATGGCACAGCAAATGAGATGGGACAATCACCAAAAATTGCAAACCAGGCCTCTACGGGAGAAGGCGTCAATAAAGATCCTCCAGCGACCGAAGATCCCCTGACAAGAAGAAAAAAAAGATACGACAGACGATCCACTGCGGCGTATTTCCTTCTTAGATTTCAAAAGGTTGATCATGGTGAGCGCTTGTGCCATCTAGTCGAGCTTCAACAAAATTCGATTATGGCCCAAGTGGATGAAAATTTTCAACTTGTTTGGCTGCAAATCGTGTGAACTTTTTATCTCGGTGGCCAAGCCCACTTACGATACTTCCGGAGACTTGGTTATTCCAAGGCGATCCTTTTCATTAGTGCACCATCACTCCACAAGTCGAGTCAAGAACAAACGAGTTTCAAGTTTCTGTTGTTCCGAGTCAGCGATCTCGCCGAGACCATCACATGCTTCGACGGCCATATCACGTTTCAAATCCGTGTTCAGTAGTCCAAGCCATGTTCTTGACGCTCACGCGTGAGGCGGCCGGCTCCACACATGACTCCCACGAGACGCTTAATATCGGTCAGTCAGCTGAGGCTTTGTTGCTGAAGCGCCGGGGAACCGCGCCATGAATTTGGAAAGACGGCTACAGAACCGCTCCAGAGCCTCAACGTACAAGCAGCATCGGCCAGATGCAGATGACAGCGAGATCAAGATTTGAACGAATTTCCATCGGAAGCCGTATTGTCGGTGTGATCCGAGACTCCATCCTGTGTTCTACGTTCAACTTCCCTTTGTCCTGAATGCTTGTTAGTGAGGATTACACAGAATCGTACACGTACCTCTGACCGTGTTACCACACGTTCAATGACATTGTATCCGACTCCGATGATTTCACTCTGAGCTTGTCTGAGCTCTTTCTGAGTTCAGAACATTTCACAAAACCAGACTGCTTAGCAATTGATCTACTTTCCTTTCCATCTTAAGGGCAACCCAGGCTCGCCTCCTAAAGACCGATGTTCCTTATATAAGGAGAGTAAGTCACTTCACCGTTCACCGATGTTCATCTATACATTTATTATCAAAATTTTGCAACTTCGGTTCGTTGCACCCAGCCAGGGCCTCGCCGTCTGGAGGCATGTCACGGTAACCCCGGTTTTTGCAATCGGCATTTCCCTATCATCAATCTTCTGCCTTTCGGGCGTAAATCAAATCAACTTATTCTAACGATATGCGGATAGGTAGCAAACGCCGATACGATTGCGTCAGTTTTGCTAATTATGCAAGCTTCGCGAATAACGCCTGCACTTGTACGCGTGTCGATGTAGTAAGCAGGGAATGTACTTTTACCCGCATGAAACGATGGCCGCTCCTAACTTTTGATACAGCCTAGAATCCGCATCTTCTGATACTCCTTTGCGCCAAGCAGTCACCGAGAATTCGAATCATTGATGCATCATTTTTGCATGTGGGTAACCTGATAAGGTTCGCTGACGGATCAGGATTTAGTTGCTGTGCATCTAGTACTTCGAAGTTCCGAATCATTAGATACAACAAGCTAGTACTAGCTCTGCTAGTGCATGCGTAGAAGATGATTGGATCTTCGACTAGAAATAGAACTATGAGAGGCGCACATCATGATTATGCTGTCTCGCGCGATTGTTGGAAAGTCTGATAACCGAAACACACTTCAAGCTGGTTTCATGTGTATCGTTTATGATATCAGGTGCAAGGTTGAACTTCTTCAGCTAGACTCTTAAGACCAGGTTGAAAACGTGGAAATATTTTACCACGCCAATTCTCTCTACACTGCCGCGTTTGACTTGGCAGACAGTAAACAGCAAAACCGCGCTTGATCTAGACCGACTCCGTCAAGATGCCACTCTACCAAATGTTCTGCATCGCCAGTCATTTTAGGGAATACGTGAGTCGCATTCCACATCTTTGTGGTTGCATCTTATGACTATGATATAGAAACACATAAAAGACTTGGTGACTATGTCTGCGATGCATGTGATGAATGAAGGCGGCGTAGTACGAAATATCCAGTTCAATGGAACACAGACGCTTCCCGAACGAATGCGGCGCCATAAACAGTATTACACCGTTGGAGAGTAAGTCTCGCGTACTTTGTGTTGAGCTCATGGTGACCTTCAACCGTTTTATTAGTTATTGGACGATGCATTTTGACACGTCGCCTCGCACGCTACGCACACTGGCTGGAATGATGCGCCGAGATCATCGCGTCATAAGATGGACAATGTTGAAGTTGGGTGAGAAGGCGGAAGATGTGGTCACTTCACCCGAGCAGACGGTGGAACGCCATTTACTAGTATCACCGAGCAAAAGCAACCCTCATTGGTCCTCGTAACGTGTTTCCGATGGCTTACTCCCTTTCTAGTCTAGAACATCTTGTAGATTCAATTTAGTATTATTGAATACTCTAATCCAGCCAACGACGGACAAGCTCTCAATCGGTTTGCCGTTCTACCCACTTTACCACCCCCCATAGATCATTAACGACCTGTACACCTTGAAGATTTTCACCTTCCTCCTTGCGTTCACCGTCGCCTTCTGGCCCGGCCCTGCGCAACAGCAGGGCGTGCATTCCAGCAGCCCGGGCGCCACGATAATCGCTAAAAGAAATCCGAACCGACACGACTTTGTGAACATGGGGTATCGTACCTTTCAAGTTCATCTCCTACGTGAACACTGTCCTGCATCTCCATCGGGACTAACTCAGACTGCGTGCTGGCCGCAAGTGCAAGACGAAATATTTCGGCACTTGGTTTTTCTATTCCCACCGCCTCGCTGAGAAGAATTGAGCCGAGGTATGGAGCAATTTCAAGATCCTTTAATACAGAAACTGCATGGTCAGTCAACTAACGCGGAAATGAAGCTTCCAGAAGACATACACATGCGCGTGTCCGTGTTGCTAATCAGTGCTGTACGAATATTCATGTGATGCAGTCGCCTCACTACGTAGCATGCCGAAGCATAGCCATGAGCACGAGCTGTCGAAGAGGGGCCCAATGATGTACATACATACAGGGAGGGAGTCGTGGAAGAGTTTGTAGCCCTGTCGAGAACTGAATCTTTCCATAAGACTGGGAACGATTTGCGGCAATGAAGAGTCTACGGCTAAAAGGTGGTTATTAGACTTCTACAACGATGTTGAATGGGCATAGAACCTTGTTGGTTGGCACCAGCTCCGATGGCTGTCCGCTTAATGACTTCAGACCACCATCCTTCAGCGCCAGAATTCCCCTGATATGTAGGGTTTTCTTTTTGTACCTGCGACAGCGCTGGGGGACCTGAAGTCAAGGACTTGTCAAGCAGAACGTTATTGTTGACATACCAACTTTAAAAGATTGTTTGAGAAGCCCTGGCTCAAGCACACCAAGATATGGAGCAAATGTTTGTGAATACTGGACGTAAATTGGTAATCTAGGCGTTACGAGTGTATGCAATGCATCAAAGGTCACCAGTCTGATGACGGTCATGATCTTGCTGTCGTAGTAGGAGCACAGAACATAAAGCAATGAAATTTGGAGAAATAATGTGTTGTGCCAGTCTAGACGGATGCGGCACTGCCAACCCCAGTACAACGGCTGGGAATGCTTACTATGGCTTAGGGCAACACTGCGTTCTCTCCTCTCCACGCCTCTTGGCTTACCTGAATCCTCAAAACTCTCGATCTCTGGCCTGACCAGAGTTTACGTCACGTTGTCGCTGGCCAGAGCTGAGTATTTGAGTTCTGATTAATCGCCACGAGTCGCATTCAGGCTCCACCACTGCTCATTCAGCCGTTGACACGCAGCAGGCGTCAACATCGAGGCAATTCCCCCGTTCCCTTTTCTTCAACGCTCATCATGTCAGAGGCGCTTGCCATCGATGCTCAGTCTCTAAGAAGAACTCAGTCAACTGGTGATATCCACCCACCGCCCAGAGCCCGCCTTTCAACATCACAGCAACGCTCCGAACAGGACGGAAGAAATTTCAATGTTACTTCGTCACCAATTGCGGAAGGGACCACCGAAGAGTAAGTAGTATGCTGCTCAGCATGAAAGTTCCTTTAATCGATGTCCATCTGCGTTGTAGTTCTCCCCGCACCGCCTGGTTTACTCCTAGCACAACATCCCCTACAGGGCAACAACAAAGTAGAAGATCCTCTACTTCCACTTCTCAACCACACCTTTCATTAGTCCCGAGAATCAAAGCGTTCTTTGGGATTGGTCCTGATGCATCAAGAACCCGAAAAGCTCTCGTATCAGTCGTGTGGGCGTTGACGTATGGTTTCTTTCAGGTCGGTAGACTTTCTCCGACTCAAGGCTGCACTGAATTATGTTGTTTAGATTGCGGCTATTATAGCCGTCCTGGTCATAGCCTCCGTAGTTACCAGCCCGACGGAAGCAAATGTCTATCAGATTAATGCTTGTGGACGACCGCTCGTCGCCTGGAATTGCATTTGGATAGTGAAAGTTTGCTTGTCATCCTCCCTGGCATATTGGAATTTTGTTAGAATCCGAAAAGCGTGAGTTGTATGGATTTTGTCCGTTTGGCGCTTGACAAAGCGGAACCAGGGAGCGTACAGGGAGATCAGGCGATGCTGAATCTGCCGATCGTTCCCGAACATCCAATGATGGTGGACCTCGTCGTAACGAACCCCCGAGTCGTCGTCGACAGAGAGATCGAGATCCTCGTAGACGGTCTAGGAACGCAGGTCCCAGTGGTACTCCCAATCAAGAAGAGCCAACACCACCTTATTCTTATCTTTACGCGCGGTACGCATCACCTTCTTTTGCAAACCTGCGAAAACGAGAATAATCTTTGTACCAGCTTGTCACTCCTTTCATCCATGCTCACTCTGACATGGTTCCTAACCGCGCACATTTTGGAATACACATCCGTTGACTCATGCCGCATTTCTTCGCCCCTCGTTTGGTGGCTTACTTTTGGAATTTTGTGCACAATGTATTTCCTGGTACTCGAGGTCTTGGTTTTCGGTTTTCTTGTTTTCATGGTTTTGCCTTTCATTATGGTGAGCCCCAGCTCCTTTTCATCCTGTCCACGTACTGATAGGCATCCTTCTGCAGCTTTTCTACAGTATTATCCTACTATGCTTGGGTCGTCATCCACTCCAGAACCCTCATTATATCAAGCCCGAAATCGATAAGCTTCCAAAAGCCACTGTTGAACGTATCCCTCTGGTCATCTACATCCCTCCTCCACCAGAGGACGATGGAAAAGCACAGCCGATTTCTTTGCCAAAACCTGTACATAGCTATCCACCCAAAGCACCAGCTCCGCGGATGCCAAGGAGACGATTTGCATTCTTTCACCGTAGACTCAAGAAGTCTGATCAAGATGGCGATATGCTTGACGGCAAGCAGAGCGTGAAGTCGGAGGTGAAAGATACAGAAACTTGGGAAGATAACTGGGAGCAATGCAAGTATCCCTTTGTCCGATTGGAGGGCAACCGAGCTGCCTGCGCCATCTGTTTGATGGACTTCGAGGAACCAAAGCGACTTTCTAGTGCTGCAGAGACGAGCACGACAGATAAGAGTGAAGAAGAAGCTCCAGTTGCGCCCGCCGAAGACAAGATACCCCGCCAGCGTGAGGAAGAAGTTGAAATACCAGTGGAACGCATCACTGAAGAAGAAAGAGGGAGCCTTCCTCGCCTTGAAGATGCGGGAGCTGGTCCGCAACCTCTTCGACTGCTTGCTTGCGGTCACGTCTTCCATGTGCGCCTATTCAATGTTACCTCACGTCTTCGTAACTAACTTGTCATCATCATGACAGAAAACATGCATCGATCCGTGGTTAATTGATGTATCAGGCCGATGTCCGGTGTGTCAGCGGCCTGTCGAACTGGATGAGACGGAACCGAATAAGTCTGGGCGAAGACGTCGCTCATGACCACATACATATCCGGCTTTTCCTCCAATATAATAATGGTTTATGGGCGACGAACTACTACTGTAGGGACCGATGTACAACACACTGATATTGCATTTTCATTGGACAATATTCTGCGAGCTTGCGGAGGCTTGCAGGTTACACAACATAAGTCGTGCAGGCGTAAAGGTTCTCGGCTTTTCGCCTGTATTTGGTGTGCTGAACATGAATAATATTCGAAGCCTGGTAGTACAACGAAATACGAGTCCCAGTAACAAAGTAGCTGGTAGTCCAAATGCTTGAAAGCGTTAGAATTTCCCTTAGTGATCAATAATTTGGAATGGACCTTTTCGGTCTTGAAGACTGGTAGCGCTTTCAAAAACGCTGTTCTGCGATTTTCAACAGTAAGCAATATAGCTTTGCAATGAGGGCTCGTTCGACTGGTCTATAACCTTTGTGATGAGTTACCATAGTAAATTGATAGTGTGGCCTTGAGAGCTTGTGCCTGTCTCGCTCTCTATCCAGTATCTTTTTGTACATATCCGTGCACGGTCACGGTGTTGTTGAAGGTCGCACAGGTGAGGTAGTCTTTTGACGATGAAATTCTGAACAAGTTAGGTAGCTACACCGTTGTGTCCTGATTCCGAAAACAAAATTCAATAGCAACGGCGCAAAAGAACCGAGAACGCACCCAAGATTGTCCATCGACGTCGACTTGGAAGCTGCACTCCAGGATGACTGCAGGGTACAAAGTGAACTAATCACGCCCTAAAATAACCATGGCCGGCGATGTGTGGCGAGGTACAAATGGAAAATCGGTGGAGAACCGAAGGTCGCCAGATTTGAGTAAAGCCACAAGTGCCCGCACCCTCTCGAGAATGAGCGACCGCATCTAAAGTCAAAGAAGATGTGCTGCCAAGCATCGCCTGCCAATAATACGCGATAACGGACGTTGGACTTAGGCGAATTGTTGAGTCAGCGGGAATTACGAAGATGAAACCGGGCATCGTGGCTGAAAGGACTTTTCAAGATATACGTCCGACCGTCCGACCCCGATGATCCGTACCAGCATAATAATTGGTCATCACTTCCATGTATCATATACACATTATATATTAGATTAAATGTTCAAATAAAATCATATAATCAACGTATTAAGCTCGCAATATATGTGGGGACATCTAAGCATTAAGCTGGAGCTTCCGGTCTGCCCTAAACCCTGTCTATGCGTGCCAGAAATCATGTATTATGTAAGCTCGCTGGGATACTACTATATTTGGACAAGCCTAGCCGCACCGCCTGTTCTTGGCCTGCTCAGTACTTACGGCTTTGTTACGCTTCCATCAGTACTGGAGGAAGGTAATTTACTCATGCAAGCTTCTCACCACCTGAATAGTGCGCCTCTGATTCTTTGCGGGTAGGTAGGTTTGTTTGCCTGTTTATAGTTTTAGTGGCTGTGCCGTACGCGCCGATGCTGGACTCGGAGCCTCGGAGGCCTAGGATCGAAATATTCTGGATCTCCAAATAATTCTGGGATCAAAAAACCACCTTTAGGTAAGTTAGCGGTTGCGTCAGCTGACTAATTACAGTTTAACGCTCAATGACAAATGTACATGTGAAAGTACCGATGTCAGGACATATGACGGTGAATAAAAGGTCTTTCATTGAACGATGTATAATTCCCTGCGACAATATGTTTGACTCCTACAGTCAAGAGAACTCAGACCAAAAGCACACAACCGAGGCAGACAGTGCCGCGCATGGCGGTCCTGTGATACTACCAATTGACACAACCCCTGTCTTACCACATGATGACACCGAGGACAGACTATTCTCACATGGCCTTTTCGACAACGATCCAGCGACATCTGCTGCAAGAAAGGGTTTGTTAAAGATCAGTATCTTTGGTGTACTCGTCATTTTCCTTATGATTTGGGGCGTCCTAACCATCTATTGGGCCGCTCTCGGTCGGTGGTCCAATAATGTTCACAACTTATCCGGATATGTGGTGGTAAGATGTATTTCCATCACAACTTGGCGCTTTCTGATAAGTTTATATCTGCAGGACTTTGATGGAGGTGAAATCGGGCAAGCAGTAACGCGGGCGTTCAAGAACATAACTGGTCCGCAACAAATGTCCTGGCTGATATTGGATGCAGCGCAATTTCCTGGTGGGCCAGATGAGGTGGCCCAGGCTCTACTTGATCATAGATGCTGGGCAGCTGTTACTAGTGTGTATTTCCAAGTCCAACTTCTCATTCCATTGCTAAGCGAGAACTAGTCAATCCCCAGGCTTCAACCAACTTGAATGCGTCAATCAATGCAGCCAATGCATCGTATAACACGACCCAAGCCGTAACCGCATACCTTACCAGTGGTCGCAATGAGAATATATAGTCAGTAATCGTTCTCTCCCTTGCGTTTGGTCATTGTCTCATTGCATCATGCTTACAGCAGGAGCGTCATCACCCCACAAGCAAGTCACAGATTCTGGGCATTCATACGAAGTTACTGACAAGCGCTACACTTTGACAGGTTACCTCAACATTGACCACCATATCGCATACATTTTCACTCTCCTTCTCCCAACTTCTAGCATCAAGGTCAGATATCTCGACACTCCTCCAAACTGCGCCTCTACTGGTAATCCAACCGCTGGCTTTCACCATTAACGACATAAGGCCATTCAATGTTCCTGTGTACGCACTTTGGTTAGTGATACTTGTCACCTTAATTAATTGTTTGTATAGGGCCTCCGCGGTAGATTATGTTGGACTTATCTACCTCCTGATTTTGGCGGTACGTTCACGATTTTGTTGATAGAAATGTGTCTAACTCTCTCATCTTTAGTTCGTGTTGACGGTACAACATTTACGATGTTTCCAGACGATGTTTACTAATATGGCGTGATATTTAGAACCAACTTATGGCGGCTCGCATTGAATCTGGCTTTGAGAGGCGTTTGAGGTTGCGACCCCTCATCCTTCTTCGCTTGCTATGGCCGGTCACTCTCTATTTCTTCGTCTCCGTATGTCTTTTACCCATTTTCTGGCGATCGACTAATGTGTGGCATTTATAGCTAATGTATTCTCTCTTAAGTTTGGCGTTCGGAGTACCATTCAGTAGGAAGTGAGTGTCATATCTTTAGTACTAGAATTGCGATCTGACCTTTGGATCTTTTGAAGCTTTGGGCACGCAGGCTTTGTCATCTACTGGATGATGTCGTGGTGTAGCATGTCCGCCTTGTGAGTTTTTAACAATGATGGAGCGATCCATATGTTCACCAGTGATTAGGGGTCTCGCTCTCGAATCTATGATCACCCTCCTCACTTTCAAATTCATTCCGATATTCCTTATCCTGTGGATTATATGTTTGTTTTTTGCCCTAATCGCAACGCTCTTCACTGACTCGCGCCGGATGATACAGCAAATGTATCTGTAGCCCTTTATCCGATAGAAGTGTTGCCCGCCGTCTTTCGCTATGGCTTTGCTATGCCATTCTACAATGTTTCAAGCACAGTTCGGACGATTATTTTTGGCACCAAAAACCAGAGTATGTACTCTCAGCCTGACCATGTGGAACATCCCTATTAAACAAACACTTATCACACAGTCGGGTTAAATTTCGGTATCCAGTTGTCGTGGATTCTAGTATCTTGTATCACCCTTCCGATATTTCAATGGCTCGTCAGACGACGACAAGTTAAGGCTTGGGAAAAATCCCAAATAGCTGCGCGAGAGAAGGCATAACGCGTAATTCATATCCGCATCTTTTGTGTTAGCCACTCAGACTCCAGAACGCTGTGGAGCCCACAAGCCCGCCATGGGCTAGTACTATACAGTAACGTCACATGTCTTTTGAATTCAAAGTACTCTACATTCAAGGTACTACATTCTACTAAGTACACTGATTTGATGCATACTATAGACTCGGAGCACGGACATCATTAAAATCGATGTTGATTTCCACCCTTTACTTCTACTTATAGCATTTATAGAACACAAGGTCGTACATAGCCTTTTCAGGGTAGAATATCCCCGGTCGTGAGTTGAGAATAATATATATCAACCTCAAGAGTTCCTGACTCGGGTTCAAAGACCATAATATTTGTACATGCGCAGTGGAAATCTGAAAGTCTCAGAAGAGATATGTTCATTGCTCGTCTCAAATCACAAGTAAAGAAAAACAATTCGACACACCAATATGTACTGGAGGATATAAAAAGGGAATGCATCCGATGGTAGATGTAGTATGTCCTCGTATAATTCGTCAAACTTGGCCTGGGAGGTGCATCAATCTCATTCGCTAATTCTGCCGAATCCTGCGGTATTCTTCTTGCATTTGGCGTACTAGTCACTGAGGAATTCTTGAGCCACGAAGGTCGACGAGCAGACAAGCAATATGACGAGGCTGACCTTCTCTGCCTTAGATACGAGCTTGGACGTGTGAGCGCCTGCAGCTTCTTTGAAGAAAAATATGCAAGACGGTAGCTATCGATGGCAATCCAGGAGGCAACAATCAAGGCGGCAGAAATTGTAATAAACTGAGATAGAGAATTTAGTTGCATAAATATTGTAAAGACTGACACGCTTAATATTTTCACGAGTGTAAGCGTGAACTGAGAGGAAGGACGACACGTTATACCCTAAGATGATTTGTGCGCGCTTGCCAAAATATACGCGATCGTCAGTCACGTGCGTGGAAAGTCAACGGAGTCGACTGCGCTTCCTTATGTAACAGCGGTTAGGCACGTCATGCATCGTCCGAGACTTCCGAGTGTGTTGTATCCGACGGAACTTCATATCAACTTCCGTTCACAGTTTTAAGGACGGCTACCGAAGGCTATGTCTATTCTAACTCTCCTTCAAACTTCATTATCTCAACACCCACCAGTACTACTTTGATCATTAATCGTCCTATCATGCTAGAGAAATTTACAAAGAAAATCGTCGATTCGTTATTGCGCTCAGATAGGGGGAGCAATGATCTGGATGGACAAACGGTGGGTTGTCGTATTTCTTCAATTGAAACATTCTCATGTTCAGTGTGGCTAGGCTGAAATCGAGTCCAATGGCACCGACATTCGTCCTGATGTTGACAGTCACTGGGCGTCTGCCATGGCAGACACAATTCAAGTTTTAGGTTGCGGCTGTATCTGGTGTAGGAGAAATACCGATTTGGTGAGCACTCTCATTAAAATTCTCTGAGACATACTCAAGTCTGTGCAGGACGAAGACTCGGTGGAAAGGGAGCAGCTGAGTCAATCTCCACATCCTCGCATCCGCCCACGGAAGGTGTGCTATTCGCCAATGGCTACGGAAAGCGGGGTTTTGGAGGTGTTGTATCCACCATCATATCTTGACACTCCTACGGTTCTCGACCCTGAGGCTGGTCCTCCTGCTTATGAGCTGCGACCCACAGTACCTCCAAACACTCCGCAAGACCAACCACCCTTGATTTCTTCTCAGGATGGCGGTGATCTCGTCCCGTTTACACCTCGCCTTCAACAACTCGCTCCTGAAGGTGTTCCAACTCATTCTGCGGACCGTGTATCATCATTCCACTCGTCCCATACTCCCCTTGACCCAAGCGCACAATCTCATTTTCGTCACCCATCACCGCGGATTGTCCGACAACCAATCATTGGCCTTGGACTGGAGTCTATAAATGGAGACGGTACTGTTGAGCCTCCGGCATACAGCCGGTTCGATTCTGCACGGCCCCGGTTCCCAGCTGCTTCTGACATCCTGGGACCGTATCCACATATCTCAATGCTTTCCTCATGATTTAGAGGGTTTGAGTTCCCACACGAGGACTTGTGTAATCTTCATGTATCAAAAGCATATCCGATGTATCCCTAGATCTCATTACTCTCTACATTGCTATGTAGGATGTTGACTCCTAATTATTTCTGAGTCCTGACTCAGTCATTGATTAAGCGCGACGTGTGATAATTCGACTGTCACGTGACTCTCGTCTAACTCGTGAATCGTGAATTCCAATAGGTTCACGCCGTTGTCCTTAACTCTCCTCCTCCTCGTGTTATCACTGTAATACCACCAGAATTCGCGTGCACAATGTCACATCATATAGGCAGCACTGTCTTACACTCCGTCAGGCGAATGGCTACGCTACACAAACCTACGCTAACAGGGAAAAGGTGTGCTGGTCACATCGGACATCATTCAACTCGTTAACGCGAAATTCCAGTCCTACAGGTATGAATCTGATACGTTTCTTCTCATGCATGCTTAACGCATGGGATCTCCACTAGCTATAGTTATGTTGAACATGGGGGGACCTTCGACGGTACGTGCAATTTTATTTGTCTGCATTTCTCTTATGCCATGCTAACTACTCTCTCACAGGTACCAGAAACCTATGACTTCCTCAAAAACCTATTTATGGACGGCGACTTGATCCCGTTGCCTTTTCAACGTTTTATAGCTCCTCTCATTGCCAAGCGGCGGACACCTCAAATCGAGAAGCAGTATGCTGACATTGGCGGTGGTTCTCCCATTCTCAAGTATACAGAGATGCAGGGTGCTGGTATGTGTGAACTTCTGGATGAGCTGCACCCAGAAACTGCTCCGCACAAACCTTATGTCGCGTTTCGTTATGCGAACCCGCTGACACAGGAGACTGCACAGAGGATGAAGGCAGATGGTGTAAAGAGGGCAATTGCATTCACACAGTATCCACAGTACAGCTGTAGTACAACTGGAAGCAGTTTGAATGAACTTTTCAGACGAGGGAGGGCAGGCGAGATGGGTGACATCGAATGGAGCGTGATAGACCGCTGGGGTACTCATCCAGGATTCATTGAGGCAAGTTCATATTATCGTGTACATTTTGCAGGGTGCTGATGATGACCATTGATGACAGGCTGTTGCACAAAATGTCGAGGCTGCCTTGGCCAAATTTCAACCATCAGCACGCTCAGACGTGGTCATTCTGTTTTCGGCTCACTCATTACCTATGTCGGTAGTGAACCGAGGCGACCCATATGTTCTTGAGGTTTCCGCATCTGTCAACGCCGTTATGGACAGACTCGGCCACTCAAACCCATATCGTCTTGTTTGGCAGTCACAAGTTGGACCTTCCGCGTGGATGGGCATGCAGACAGGGGAGGCTATCAAGGGTCTTGCTCGTCTCGGAAAGAAGGAAGCCATTCTAGTCCCTATTGCCTTCACGAGCGATCATATTGAAACACTCTACGAGCTGGATCTCGAGTATTTGAAAGAGGGAAAGGAGGTACGTCGGGCCACGAGTGCATGCTTCAACAACTCACCCATGTGTATACTACTTTTTCGCAGCTGGGGATGGAGATACATCGCGCAGAGTCATTGAATGGATCTCCTGTGTTCATCCGTGCGTTAGCAGATATTACTGCACAGCATCTGCGTGACTATTCTGCGAGGAGGGTTGGGCCTACGAGCGTGCAGATGGGGCTTCGGTGCCCGGGCTGTAAAAATATGACTTGTAGCCAACAGAAACATTGGTTCGCCCGTGCTGGACGTTCCTAGCCGTTCATTACATATGACGTAGAAAAGCTGCCTCAGGCTGTTTTGCCAAATCACGAATCGCGTGATTCTAAGGACCAATCAACGCGTTCCCCGAACAATCACCAGACCCGAGTACAGCTGCTGACTCAGCGACAAGCCCTTATACTTAACCGTATGATGTCTCTGAATGCACAAATGACACCATGTCTCCTACAACAATCGTATCAGCGCCGGGAAAAGTTCTAGCAGCAGGAGGATATCTTGTCCTCGATCAGCAATATCCAGGGGTAGTGATCTCTACATCTTCGCGATTTTACACCGTTATCCAGCCTTCGTCGGGTTCTGCGAATCAGATCGTGGTCAGATCTCCCCAATTTCATCAGGCTGAGTGGAGATATACCGTGAACTACAATGCTGCAGGCATTCAGGTAAACCCACAAGAGGACAGGTGAATAACATTTCTTTGACATCTTCACCTTGATCACGCCTTACATTTCTCTTGATCAGTATTGGGGGGAAGAATAAATTTGTTCATCTGGCCCTCCAGCACACTTTGAATCTCGTATCGGAGATTCATTCTGTGGCCCAAGTGCAAGAGAGGCTTTCCAATGGTCTCGATATAGCTGCTGTAGGCGATAACGACTTCTACTCTCAGCGCGCGCAGGTAAGCATCCTTGATGTTACAGTCATGGTAGAAATGTGACCGCTGGCACAGCTGGAATCGTTAGGTCTACCTAGAACGACGGAATCCCTCTCGCAAATCACCCCTTTTTGTCATAACGGCGTGAAACTGACCGATGTGCACAAAACCGGCATGGGGTCCTCCGCCGCACTTATCACGTCGCTCGTCTCTGCGCTGCTTCTTCACTTCGCAGCCATAACTCAGACAGATTTTGCCAACCTAGAAGGGGATGGCAGACGCCTCGCCCACAACGCTTCTCAATTTGTACATTGCCTTGCCCAAGGCAAAGTAGGCAGCGGATTTGACGTGTCTTCCGCGGTGTTCGGCAGCCAGATTTACAGGCGATTCAGCCCTGCTGTTTTGGACCCGCTGATGAAAGGCGAAGTATGTCATGTTTGGGGTATTTCCGCTTCTAGCGTCCGCTGATTCTTCTCTTAGTTTGCGACAGGCACATTGAAGAACGTTCTGACTTCCAGTGCCTGGGACTATAGTTTCCGGCCGATTCAACTTCCCCCGTTAACCAGACTGGTCCTGGCTGACGTTGAAGCAGGGAGTGATACACCTTCTTTGGTTGGCAAGGTGTTAAAATGGAGAGCGCACGAAGACAGCTGTGAAACAGGTACGCAGTAGAGCTGTAAAACGCAATTGGATACCTCATTCTTATCGCCTCGTGCAGCGAAGGATCTATGGATGCAGATTGATGAATCAAACCAATCCTTAGCACGGCAGTTGGATGCCCTTTCGCAGTCATATGATCAAGACAAAGATGTATACAAAGAGACCGTCAGACAACTTGTTTCTCTGCCTGCACGAGAAGTGAGTAGGTTCCTTTCCTGCACACCTTGTTCCTTATTGTGTATTGCAGTGGGAGAGTATCTCAAAAGCATTTTATAATTTGCATCAAACTACTCAGGTAAGGAAAGTTCCTCGCCATCGCGCATCAAGTCGAACATGCCCTTTCTTTCTAGCAAATACGTAACCTCATGCGGAGAATGGGCGACCTTGCTGGCGTTGAAATTGAGCCTGAGCAACAAACCCACCTACTTGACCAGTCGATCGAGCAAGCGGGCGTGGTCGGTGGTGGTGTACCAGGCGGTTAGTTATGTTTCTTCAGGAGCTGGACTATATCTTAATCTGAGAATAACACAGCTGGCGGATATGATGCCATATGGCTACTAATCTGCAGCCCGCCAAGTCTTCCGGACGAGCAGCAACCCTTGCGCCGAGTTGAATCAGTATGGAGCACCTTCGATGAATCCAATGTGACCCCTCTTCTTGCTCAAGAAAGTGTCGCCAAAGGTGCTCGCGTTGTGCAGCTCGACGAAATACCAGGGCTCAGAGAAGCAATTCAACGGCAATGATCAATTTTAAATAGACGTCCTTATTCCAGTGTTCGATCCGTGCATTATGTCCTACTCTAGATGTATGAATGTGCAAGCCTGTGACTATATTAAAAATGAAGACTATGTCATACACATCTTTGGTTGGCCCAGAGGCATGTACGCTCTTTGGATCACCTGAAGGAGGGATACTGTCATCACAGCCACCCCAAACGCAAGGCAAACTGCAGCTGGAAGCTTCGCACGGGAGTACCACGGAACACGTGGATCGGTCAGTTTTAGGTAGCATGCAGCGGGAAATATGTACGCAAGCGCTGTGGCTGAGACACCGCCGGTGATCTCCAACGTGACGCCCAGATCGCAGGTGATCAACGAGACTGGTTCAGGATCCGCGTTAGTTCTAACTGTGGTGATTGGCATAAGGACTTACGAAGCATCGATGCGAAGAGAATGGTGGAGGTGAAGAAGACGTGTCGCTGAACATTATAGCTTTCGTGAGAGAAGAAGTACTGTTCAATCACCTGAAACGGTCGAGTTAAACTTTGTCCTGGACCTGCATATCGTCAATTTACTTCTCTGCAGACAAACAACTCCAAGGGTAACGTCGTAAACATGTTCAGCCCGAAACAGAAACGGGCAACGTTGATCAGCGCATCGTTCTGTTTCGTATATATCAGATGTCAAGCATTCAATATTGCAGGAAAGCTCACCCCGGAGAAGTTATTCAGTATATTCCCCTGAGTTCTGTTTGTAAAAACCCAGAAGCCTGATATAGCCAAAGTACAGCACGCCACGAGTGAGATGAGCGTCGATATATGCGTCACTTGAGCAAATCGATCTAGGGTGGGGGTCTTCAAGCTCCCGTAGATGAGTAAACTATTGTGATGGCACACAAATGCAAAGCTCATAACACCGATTGCCTGAAAGACCCCCGGGCCCCAAACAGTGAGGCGTTTCGACGGATCGCCCTTGAGTTCGGGCGACACGTGCGATCCTTCAATCAGGACCGCTGAAACGATGACGAGCATGCTGAACAATGCAAGCCCGGATGCACGTGAAAGTTTGTGGATGTCGCGGTAGAGCGATAACGGATAAGAAACACACGTTGTGCACAGGGTGATGATGAATTGGCGATTGGTGAAGAGTGAGAGAACAGGTATCGTGTGCAAAGTGGGGAATATTGAACGAATGACATGGGGTATCGTATCTCCTGGAGAAAATGTAAGGTGGAAGTATAATACACTAGGAAACCCTGCACTTGCCAATAATAATACCAAATGCACACATCCCTAAAGGAACAATCAACCGTAAAAAACAGCGACATAGATACGAGTTACTCACCACCAAAAGCAAATGAGAACTGGAAAAATGAAACGGCTGCGCGGCCACTGGGGCCGAAACAACTGTTCATGACTTCGATGTAAGATGTTCTGCCGCTGAGCTTGGCGTTGATTACAACCAATCGGATAGTCCAATCGGTGACGGCGCAAATAACGACCAGAAGAACGATGCCAAGAAAGAAGCCTGCTTGACTGACTGCGTACGGCAAACCTACCACATTATTAGCCAAAACTATCGCTGAAATTGCAACCTAACAAACCAATAATTCCTGTCATCAATTATCAGCACTTTGGGCATATGAGCAGTTAAAGGTTTACCAGCTCCGAGGATTGAATTTGCCATATTAGCAACCGAGTTCAGTAGACCTCCACCTGACCATTGTTTTTCAGCGAGGTCATCAAGGTCTACGTTCCTACGTTCTCCATTCTCCATATTATCTGTTTCATACATAGGAATAGTTGTATCTGGCGTTCTCCTTGCGGCAGAGGCATCCATGAGACCAACAAGTAAAGGCATGGTGCGTTCTCGTCCCGTAGCCCCATGAGAGCGCCTTTGTTCGCGCTGGATTTCAGCTAGTGAAGCATCATCAAAGTCGTCCGAGTCCAATTCATATTCTGTCCAGGCGCTGATAAGGTGTGATAAATTATGAGCAGGAAGATACGCACCCGCTTCCCGGCTCTGTATTGTGGACCGTAAAGGTGGACCGATGACCTGCACTTCTTCCTGAAATCTGACACCTGGTTCTGTCCTCCGCACTGCCGACCAGGGCTCTGCACCATTGCTTTCTGAGTCTTCGTCGTCTACTGAAAAGACAACTTGGTTTGAATCCGCTGAAACATCCTCATGTGAAGCATTCAGCAGAGGCTGCCTAGCTTCTCCGTCTGCTGCCTCTCTTGCTCTTGAGTTTGCGGCAAACATCTAGCACTGTCCAAGACCATAAGCCAACTGAAGAAAGTACCGTAAAACGTGTCAGTAAGTTACAAGTTTGATGCAGAGGCGAATCTAGCAACAACAATAACTGATGACCTCGGTGAATGTTGCTTGAATGCTGTATTTGTTTGGCCAAGTCCGGCTAATTATTTACTGATCAACATTTGAATGCGTACTGAAATTCACCTCTTACAGACTCAGTGCTTGTGCTCCGCGCTCGCACTGCTCGTCAGGATGTAAGCGCTTAGCCTTCAAGCTTCAGCGCTCAGCTCCAAGATGTTGATCAAGTCCCAGCAGCCCTCGATTGGCCCTATTGTTCCCCTGAGCATGTTCTCATCTATGATGTGCCCGTGAAGCACACCGATTGGTCTACGTAAGTTCTTAAATCTGTTTATGTGTATTCATTTCTGTTCATGCAGGCTTCATCTACGGCCACCGTCAGTCTGGATAACATGCTTGGCAACTGCGCACAACCACACCCTCTGGTGTCAACCTACACCACCTGCATCCTAACAGCCCTCCAACTTGCTTTCAACGGAGTCTCTGCCCTTTTTCTAACGTTCTCTGTCTCGCGGGTGTTGTCATTGTGGTAGTAACGCTTCTCACTGGTTGTACCATTTCCAAGCCCAACATTCCTGGTGCTCTGGATCATAGTATATGTCAATGTGCGTTTCTGCATTGCAATTACAGGCTTGTGTGCTCACAGCTACTATGCAGCCCATGTGCTATGGTTCCGAGGCTCTGCTGATGAACAAGTTTCACGCTCTGAATGGCACTTGCTTTATGCCCGGTCTCACGTTATTTCATTGCAAGACAGGCAGACCACTGCTGATTTCCTCGTGTCTGGTATGTTCCATGTTGGTTTGACAAGATTTATCTGTTTATGCCATGATTTTCAATGACAAACCCAAGGAGGTGAATGATTTATGACAGTTTTGAAGGCGAACATCTGAGGAGATGGCTGCTGCATTCCTCACTTCCTCTCTTGGTCAGGAAATCCGTGACTCCATTGAGCACTACTGCTCCCATAACATTGGGAAGCCCAAGTGCAAGGATGTGTACAGCTCATAAATGCTTTTTTGCTCCACATGGTGTTCTCACTAATCTGCAACACACTCTAGATCCTACTCATGCAATACAGTGGTCATTGTTACAATAACATTTACTCCTATTTCTTTTTCTTTTCTTGTAACTATGCCGCCGACTCTAGACTCATCGAGACCCGGCTATTCTCTTATCAAGCGGGCTGTCCGCACTTCTCTTCTATCTTGATTGTAACATAGATACTATCTTGCGCCGCATGGCGGTTTCACCTATCTTTGCTATCTTGATAGGTTGTACTCTTCTCCTATCTTTGTTACCTGTCTTGTCGCGGCTACGCCGCTTCCTTTTACCTATATAAACCCCATGTACCATAGATGTATTCCTTAACTTAATCTACTGGGTTTTTCCCTTGAAACCTGATCTACTAAGGTCTCCACCCTTAGTAGCCTGAACTCTGATTCTAAGGCAGTCACTCACTGTCTTAGCCTGAAACCCTTGATTGCGGTAGAAGTGCTAAAACCACTCACCGCCTAGGCAGAAGTGCTAAAACCACTCGCCGCTGATCCTGCATAGAAGCCGCGGCTCGTGCAGTAGGAACCACCAGAAACCTTCCTTGTATTAGGAAGGCCGACGAACTGTTCGCCCGACAGGTCTATCTTGACCGGCAACAGCAGAACTATCCCAGTCGTAACAAAAGATTAAGTTTCTCACCCAGTACCTGTTTTCCAACAGTACTTTGACACCATTGATTCGATAACTGCGAACATCCTTGCCGCCGCATTCGGAAACATGTCGGGACACTCCGCATCATCCAGTGCCACCGCTGCCGCAGCAGCAGCAGCCGCAGCCGCCCACAGACCAACTGAAATCAAGATCGGAACCCCACCGACCTTTGATGGCAACGAGAAGAACGCAAAAAGCTTTTTGCTCTCGGTTGCCGCCTACCTCGACATCAACAGTGAAATCTATGACACTGACAAGAAATGCATCATTTTCGCCACATCTTTCATGAATGAAAAGACGGCGTTGACATGGAAGGAGGACTTCCTGACTCTAGCCCAAGACACCACGAGGCTAGACAAGAACAAGCAACCCATTGGGTATGGAACGTGGGAAGATTTCAAGAAAGCCTTCCTTAAGGCATTCACCACGGGAGAAGCGGCCACCGAAGCGTGGATCAAGCTTAGGACCTTCAAGCAAGAAGGGTCTCTAGAAGAATATATCGCGGAGATTAGACATCTCTTCCAGTTAACCAGTCTCACTGAAGAAGGATCTAGAGTCCACTTCTTTACCGCCGGATTGAAATTCGGAATTGCCAATGCTATCTACAGAGCAGGCAATATCTCGAAGGACTTCGAAGGAATGGTCAACACGGCCAGAGAGATGGATAACGCCTATCAGCAGATCATTGCGCTAAGGCCCAGAGTCCACAACCAGGGCCAGAAGAAGAAGAACCGGTTTGGACCTGAAAGGTACCAACCGCGTGGAGACAGAGACTCCATGGAGGTCGACCGCCTCTCAGACAAAGAAAGGGCCGAACATATGAGAGCAGGCAAATGCTTCATATGCCACCAGACTGGCCACAGAGCCAATGATAGGGAACATCACCCGAAAG